AGGGGACTTTAACAATGGTGAAGATGGCATTTTAATTTTAGGGACAGAATACTTCTTTGTTATGAGTGTACCAGACTGTAAAAGCAGTTCATCTTCTCCAAAGGTACACTAAAGGTGTGGACATGTGGAGCCTTGGCTGTATCCTGGGAGAGATGCTGCTGGGGAAAGCCCTGTTCCCCGGGACCTCCACCATCAACCAAATAGAGAAGATAATGAGTGCCATACCACACCCCAGCCCAGAAGGTGAGGAAGGAACTCCAGATTTAAACTCACATAAACCCTTCACACTTTATTTTTGGTAATGGACATCATTGTCAATGTCCATTACTATGAATTAATTAATGCAATTTAATTTTCAGATATTATTGCAATCAAGTCTGAATATGGATCCTCTGTCATTCAGAGGATGTTGCTGAAGTAAGTAAATATTTTCTTCTATATTATTTGAATAGTGAAAATCCTAATGTACACAGTTAACACTGGAGAGGCTATTTTTGTATATGTCAATGTGAATTCTAATTTATTTATATGTGAATACAGAGTGTGCACAGTTAATGCTTGGCCTCTGTCTGACCTTGTCGATCCTGGCACAGAGGGAGTTTATGGAGTGACGAAAACAAATTTCTTCCCCTCCACTGGGAGGATCATTATCAGAGGTTACAGGTGGAGGTGGGGCTGAATACATGCTCAGAGATTATTGCAGAGATGCAATGACACAGCAGTGACAAAGCAAAATCATAACCTGAGCAATGACCGTTTAAAAAGACCACTTTGTTGAATATAGTGTGTTGCAGAGAATGGAGATGTTTGAGTGAACAGGGAGGTCAAACTGTCTGAGCGAACTTACTACCTTGCTGTATTTCTGATCTTTGCACAGGCAAATATTAATGGCAAATATACTGTATGTGTGTACTTTAAGAGGATCGGTTATATTAGTCTTTTACTCTTTCTACTTGAATATTGAGAACTCACATTTGGGCTAATATTTTCAATGAAGTCTCCTTTCTACACCCCCTACGTTCCACTTTTTAAAGGGCAACTCCACCTATTTTACACATCAAAGTCTGTTTACGGGTCTTTGGGAGTACTACTATAAGTGAAAAATATGTATAAAGCCTTTTGTGGCTCCAGAGGGAGCTGTGTGAAGTCTGCCAAGTGATTGAGTCATTGTTCACTGGGAGTACACTGGGTGTGTTAATAGCACTAACAGTCTGCTTCAGTCATGAACGCTACCATCTGACATGCCTGTGTTTCAGTGGAAATCGAAATTTAACCGTGGCTTTAACCGAGCGCTTGTTTGCACACGCCCAGTAACGTGATACACTAATGATCTAACTTGCGTAAAAGATAGGATCACACTGATTCGGCAAACCTGCTTGCTAGCAGTGTGTTATCTTAGCCTACAAATGACCTTACTGTTTTATTTCGTAGTAACAAAGATGCTTACAGGAAGTGTGTGGGAGCAAAAGTATACATTTTATTTAGGAAATGTAGTGAAGTAAAAGTGAAAGTTGACAGAAAGATAAAAAACTTAAGTACAAATACTTAAGTACTGTAACAAACATTTTATTACTTTTACCACTGAAAATATCTGTCTTCTTTTCTTTCCTCCTTCACCAGACCACAGGTTCCTTTGGAGGATCTTCTCCAGCCTTCTGTGCCCCCCGATGCTCTGGACCTGTTGAGAAGTTTGCTAGTTTTCAACCCTGACAAGCGGCTGACTGCTGAGCAAGCCCTCCAACACCCATATGTATCCAGGTATTACGGATCAATAGTTCAGACTGATTAATGAAAAGTACTGTAGAGATGTCTTTTATTATTCTCTGCTCTTTTGTTTACTTAGTTCAACAGCTAGAACCAATCATTTCTTCTGTATGCAATGCTGCCCGTGCTAGAGCAAGATTAGAGCTGTTAACTTTTATGTCTCTGTTATTCCCATTAAGTTCTATCATTTATCCATTACCATCTGTCCATTTTCTGTCCCTGGAGGTTTCATAGTCCAGCCAAGGAACCAGCTCTTAACTATGATGTAGTTCTGCCAGTGGATGATGATGTACAATTATCTGTGGTTCAGTACCGCAACAAACTTTACGAGGTACAAAATGAGTCATAAATGTTTAAAAGACAACACAGAATTTTATTTTTACACAGCAGACCAATTGAATATTACTTCTTTTTTTATCTGATTACACTGATTAAACCTGATTTTCCTCTTCTTTACCTGCAGATGATGCTGGAGCGGAGAACTAATCAGGGGATGCTAAGGCTGATCCAGCCAAAGGGAGAAGGCAGTGAGAAGCCCAGTGTAAAGGATAAAGTAGAGAAAGGCCCAGTGGCAGCAAATGGCAGTGTGGATGATAAACATGAGGGGAAAACACAACATGAAAAGACTGATGAGACAAACCACGTACCTTCACACACAGGCGTCACCAAACCTGTTGTGCCCGTGTGTGCATCAACCCCGCTAGCTGTGGAGAAGACGAGTCCAACAGCCAGCCCTAGCTTGGGAAAACTCACATATAACCCCATCACACATGCCCCAAGTATGTTTGAATTTATCTGTACAGGTTCAACACAGGGATGGGTGTCAGACCTTTGTACCTTTTTGGTACTGATCAAAATAGGTTTGTTATCTAAACATGATAGCTCCTGATTTAAGTCTGTTATAGATTGTAAGGTTTGCCTGTCTTAAGACATTTTAAGTTTGGTGTAAAACATTAGTAAAGTAAGTAATCAAAAAAAAGTACGTTTTGGTATCAGTCGGCATTCACAGTGAAATCTAAACAATACAGCTGCATATATTTTACATATATCTCTCAAAAATACAGTATATATACACACTCTCCCTTTCTTCATTCAGATGGTTTTGTTCGGAGTCCAGCTGGTCCTCCTCAGCCTGCAGCAGGCAAGAGACCAGTGGAACATGCCAGTAATGGAAATGCAACAACATCACCAACAGAGGGCACCAATGCTCACGTAAGCAACAGACCATCCAGTTTTCTCTTGCTGTGACCCTATCTTGTTTCCTTTCATTTCTGGCTACTCACACCCAGTATTTTGATTTGTTTCTAATCTCTACCCTCTCTAGTCCATGGACCAGATTCTCCAGCGTGGTCGCTCAGCCCCTGTGACTCATAACCGTTCCTTCTCCTTGACCATAAACCAAACCCAGAACAACCCGCTGGTTCGCAAAGACGAGCCACCCCTGCCCTCTGGGCTATATGTCACATCTGCACGCCTGGTCAGTCCATGACATGCTTGATGAAATATTAGTTTAAATATAGAAGGCATGAAAATATTATATATTATATTATATAATATATTAATATTTTAAATCTTGGTGGCTTTACTAAGATATAGATGGAATTACTTTCTTTTTCCTCCCATGCAGAACCAGCGTTCAAATTCTCAGGTTTGTGAGGCTCGGCCACCGCCGCGGTTCAGCAAGAAAGTATTTCAGAGCAACTGTAATGTGGCAGCTGCGGGCGACCCTCGAGCCAAACTGGGAAGCTATTCTCAGGCCTATGGTACTATCAACAAGACTGATCTGGACAATCTGCTCCGAAGCCGCCCTTACAACCAGTAACTGCTGTCTTATCAGCGGTTACACAAGGGCACAGTGTGGCACACGTGTTTCAACACACAACAAAGTTTGTCTTGTACTAGGATGTTTAGGCACGTGGCAAACTGGAAGATAAATTCCCAAAAAAAACTGTTAGGTCAAACACCTCTTGTATACTGTGTAGATTGTACCCATTGTCTGTGACAATGACTACATATTTGTAAAAATCCAGTTCATATTACAGTTATGAAATTGTACCAGCAATTCATGAAAATATGTATGTGTGTGTAGTTTCTTCAGCAAGTTTCACTCAGCAGCATTTCTCACAAGGCTGAATTACCAACTGGGCAAAGAGGGGCTTCTTGCCGACTGTAGGGGTAAAACAGACGGTTTTCATGTTAACTTATGTAGCTAAAGGCCTCTAAGCTTAATGGTTTATGTACATTAAGCCAGTTGGTTTCAGATGAACACAGCAGAACTGTAAAATATGCAAATAGTTTTAGAAATGTATTGTATGCAACAAGGAATTATTTTTCATGTTTTTTTTTTTTCAACAGTAATTAAACGTTATTATCTAATGTGTACAGAAATGACAAATATAAGTGTTTCTTCAACCCAGTTTGTAATGTTTAACAAACACAGATGACTGTGGCAGAAAAGCACCATAAAGTTTGATAATAAACCGAAGTTGAAGTTCTCAAATCCTTCATAAAATCTATTAAAGGTATTAGTAAGTTAAAAGTATTAGTACAGAAGTACTAACATGAGTGAGTTTGTTGTGCAGACAAATGGACCCTATATATATATATATATAATAATATATATTACATTTTTATATTGTTAATAGTGATGCAGTTAGTTAGTATGGGGAGCCAGTTTATATACTTCATATACTGTTATTCCAGTGACCCCCTCCAGTGAGTCACAAGATAAACCAGAGGGGTCCTGAGATGATTAATGATGTCAGACACAAGAAAGCAGTTTTGCCACACAAACTTTTCTCTAAACCTCTCTCTTCTGTAAACATTTTCCCCTTGGAAGGCCAAAACTGAAACTTAATGTTGGATGGAAAACATTACTCAGATCCCAAGTTCCCTTAAACGACTGACTTCCCACGCAGTGTCCCTCAGCCTGCCATGCTCAGATCATGAAAAATAACTACTTTTTACACGATTAAAGAGCATTTTTACCTCACAAAAATAAAACTATTTTATTGTTACATTTTGTTTATTTGAATCTAAAATGTAAGCTGTAGTACACATATATAAAGTAACTTAAGAACCTCAAAGTTGTATTTAAATACAGTACTTTTGTTAAGCACCGTGCAGAACTGTTCCCGGTGCAGTATTGGACCCTAACGACGTTACCGAAAACACTGCGTCATTATGGGTCGTTTTGTATAACAGCCGGAGATTCCCACACACCACGTGACCACGTCGTGTGGCGTCGTCAGCAGCCTCCCCCTCTCTCGCGACCCAGTTGTTCAGTCCGAGTCCGGAGCTTGGAGGAGGAGGAGGCCCAGTCCATGTACTCTCAAATAAACACATTAAAGGTAAGGCTGCTACAGTTTTACTGAGGGTATGTTAGACGCGGGTGGGCTTTGTTATTATATATTTAATTATCTTCATTAAATATGCTGTTTGTGCGGCTAGCAGCAGACACAACGTCGGCTAAACGCGGTCAGCATCCAGCCTGTAGCCAACTGCCACTAACGGCTGTAAAGACAGAAAGCGGCAGTTTAATAACACATTTAATATTACTATTATTTGCATATAACTATATAAATACATGTGTAAATATATATATATATATATATATATATCTTTATAGATAGAGGGAGCACAACGTGGCTAGAAGTAGCTGACAGCTCAGCACTGTTAAGGGGTGGGGGGGCGCTGCGTGTGCTCATCGTCCTAAAACAATAATTTATTTAAAAGGTTCATGGTGGCGAGTGAAGCTAGCTGACGGATATCTATCGCAGAATAATCACTGACACATTATCAATATTTCCCTGCACTGGCGGTCCTGCTGGCCTTGGGGGCTGATATGTGTGAGTAGATGTAACGTTAGCGGATCATCGCAGTGTCGCATTTATCTGCGCTGCTGAGGCCTAGATGGAGAGTCGCCCCGCTGCAGGTGCACCATTAAAACCAGGCTCATGGTTTCTGTTTTGGTTTCCAGTCGTGCATCCCTTCCACACAAATAGATCTCTTACCACCAGTCGTGCATCCCTTCCACACAAATAGATCTCTTACCATCCTTTTTTTAACCAGATTGCTGTTTTAAGTAGTAATTTAAGTATAAATTAGGTGTGCTTTATTAGAGCTTTAGCTGTACCATGACGAAAAACTAAATCTTCTTACAGCTACATACATTAAAATTTAAGCAGATATTGGCATCATTTTATATTTCTAGCTATCTGAAATCATAAACTATTTCGATAACGGATTTATCATTTTAGAAAATGTTCAAGCAAAAATGCCAACTATTCAGTGGCTCCAGCTTCTCAAGTGCAATGATTTACTACTACTACTACTAATTTCTATAATAATACACTTAATATATAAAGTTTTGGACTGTTGGTTGGCCAAAACAAGACATTTAATGATGTCACCTTAGGCTTAAGAAGATAGTGACAAGCAGTTTTCACTATATTATGACATCAGTTCATCTGGAAAATTATTAGTTAATAATGAGAATAATTGTTAGTGGCAGCTCTAGACATTTCTGACTATTTCCTTAATATCAATAATGTGATACATTTTGATTACAACAATTTATGTTTCATACTGTATTCAAACAGGAGGTGTTTTATTTTTCTAAAAAGTATTTGTAATCTAGATGTGATGATGATCCCAAACCAAGAGCTAGTTACGCACATGTCAACTTAAAACTGTATAATAGGGAAGCAAACTAATCTCTAGCAGGTCTTTGTCATTTCACTTACCTATTGTTAGAAGTGTATGATATAGATACAATTCAATCATTAGTTGTATCCCTACATTTATTAGGCCCTTGTACATTTTTAAACTGGTAATTGACCAACCTGTTGGTTTTTTGTTAAACCAGTAACAAATCATTGTACCTCAGTTTGGGGCTTTTACCTGTAGTTACCCACATCCTGTATGTATGTGTTGTTGCTATCTCCGCACAAGGCCTTCTCCGTGAATAATCCACACACACCTCCAAATGTAGGCTATGTCTGTTATTGTTCTTTGCTCTTTACAGTCTGGATCCTATGTTGTCCTTATCAACTCGCCTATGGGTTTATGGGTTTACAGTCTTATTGGTTGAAGTTCTCCATTTACAGTCCCGTCCTGTGTTGACTATCGCTAAAGGAATATACATGAGCATGACATTCATCAGCTCCTCAAACAGCCTCTTTTTTCTTCCCTGACCTTGTTACCAGGACATACATGATGTCAATGCAGAGCACATTAGTTTGCTCTTTGTCATAATACAGTTTCAAGTTGACTTCCTGTACATAACTGTGGGGGAGGGCGAGGGATTTGACACGTTTTCATTTATTATTTCTTGTGGATACTCATTCAGTGGAAGCACAAGACGAAGAGAATAAGTGAAGTTAGTGGATGTTTCTACTGTCTAATTTCCTTACACTTGACTTCTGTTTGGTGAGATTTGGATTTTTAAGGATCAGTAGGCTCAATAAAGCTGATTCATCTGTCCAACGCTGCTTCCTGTAATTAGCAGCTGTTCATACTTTGTAAGGAGCGAATAGTTTATTTCAACTCTGAAGCTAGTGATAAATTAGCTGTGCTTTGTTAGAGCTTTAGCTGTACCATGACGAAAAACAAAATCTTCTTGCATCAAGATACATTAAAATTAATTTTGTTATATAAAATATTCTCCTTATAATAATGTATGAAATGTTATAATGAGAAACTTTATAGTATTAGTAGTATTAAAACTATAAACTTTCCTTAAATTCTATTGAGAAAGATACATTTGGCACAAAAATATATAATAATATATAAAAAACGTTATTTTATGAAATAAAATATCTGTCCTGTTGTTAAAGGAAACTGAGATTTATTTTGGTGTTAGCAGTATGTGGCTATACTATGCTAACCTACCTAAAGTGCAGCCATCTGTCACAAGGCGAGGTACCTGCAGGTGTGACATAGCCAGAGTCGCTGCTGACACGGTGTGTCACGGTGGCAATATCTTGCCAGACTGCTGCATCAGCTGGGAGATGGGCTGACAGTGACAAAGTGTAGGATTTATCTACATGGAGATCCAAGGGACAATTTCATGATTAGACTCAAAATGTGCACCGAGTGCTTTGAGGAATTTGATTAAACTTCAGCGGGTTCTGTGGTTTATTGCAGTCAGTGTGTGAAACAGCCCACAGGTTGCAACACTGCTTCCACACAGTTAGTTAGTCATCCTGTGACTGTGAAACAGCTTTTTCTTTTTGATGATATCACTCAGTGAAGTCAAAGGTGTTTGTCTGTAGCTGTAAGAAATTATTGTTCAGGAGTAGTCAAATTAATCTTTAAAATGAGTAGTATTCTCTACTTTTTTTTCCGCTCTCAGTCGTCCTTCATCAAAAAGAACAACTTCTCATTTTTAACTTGGTGCCACATTTTAACACACTGACCTCTGTATAGGCCCCACTGCTTTGTGTGACTTTTCCTGTTTTGTCTCTGTGTGTCCTGGTGTTGCTCAGGCATGCACATAGCATGTTGTATATGGGGTTGTTGAGGTTATTGTGTTAGCCTAATTGTGTTAACGTGGCTCTCTGGCTATCCCACTGAATCCCCCCCTGTAACCTAATTCCAGTAGCGATAGCTATCAGCAGAATCCAGGCATAGTGGCCCTGGTCTTTATCCACAGCATTGGGGCGTCTCTCCTAAGAGGATTTGAAATCTCCCACGTAAAGCTTATAAAGCTGCCGAAACAGTGCTTTAAAACTGACTCACAAAACCAAAAACAATATTGACTGTATTCAATTTCACAACTTCTCAGACATGGAAGTGAAACTTTTGTGGTTGTGGCATTGCCCTTGTGCACTCGATGAGTGATTGGCAGTGTTTGTTCTCTTCGTGTGTGTGTGTGTGTGTGTGTGTGTGTGTGTGTGTGTTTGTGTTTTTTTTCCTTTTTACAGTTTTTATATATATAAAATAAAGTACTTTTTGTCGGTGGTTACTTTTTGTTCATACGTCTTAAGACACATACATTTGTTAGAAGGTTAGAGAAGGTCTAGCGGTTGTGACTTCATGCACATTTTTTGACATTAATGTCCCATTCGCTTCACTGGATGGTGTGTTATTATGGAGGTAATCCATCATACACAGATAAAACGGTACAAACAGACCAGTCCTGATTAACTCAACACTAAACAACACTGTCCGTTAGAACAGAGAAGTCACTTCTGTTAAACATGACTTGCAAGATCTTCTACAGCTTTTGTTACAATTTGGAAATATGAATGAAGACTGGTGGATAATTCAGTTATTGTGTAAATCATACTTTGATGATTTAATCGTATTATGTTATCAGACAAATGTATGTTGTCCTAACTAATGATTCAGAACAAGCTGTAAATATAAATTAACAAAATGAGTTTTTTTTAAGAGTTTGCCCACATGCGTTACATAACAGTGTGACACAGCAGAGCTGAAACAATCAACAGAAAAATAACTCTTATTTTGATCATTAATTAGGTAATTTTTTAAAGCAAAATGCCAAAATACATCCTCTCAATTGTGAGGCTTTTCTTTGTTGTGTGTGTAAAACTGAATATTTTCGAATTAGGACTGTTGGTTGGACAAAATGAGCTATTGGATGACTTCACTTTAAGCTCAAGGGAATCCCTTTTTTCCTGACATTTTAAAGACCTTTACAAAGTATAAATGGGATTAAAATGAATAATAATAGGCTGATATCTCATATTTGATCTTGTTATTCCCCAGCCCCTATGACAAATACTTTCCTGGGTTATAAATTTAAATGTGTTACGTGGACATTAGTTAGGGAGTGGATCACATGCTTTGACTGTGTGTGTCACATGATCAGTTGAGCACCCGTGGGTTCGTTCAGTCGACAGATGTTCTGTCTTGTGTGACGCAACCAAACAAAACCTTTTGTTGTGTTACAGAATTATTGAGTTTGTCAGTTCAGATCAAGAGAGTGATCCTTGAATGTAAAACCAATATTAACTACAGTGCAAACATTTTATTATCAGATAAATGGATTTTCCAATAATTCAGCAAAACTGCTTTACTCAGTGTACTGCATGCCCGCCCCCCTTACACAACCATTGTTGTCCAGAGAGCCAGGAGGGATTTGGCTCCTCAGATAGGGATTGTAATCTGTTATGATCTTAATGGAGACTGTCAGTGTGAAGCAGAGCCAGCACTCGTCATGTTCGTCTGCAGTCTCACTGCACTGCCCTAGTGATGGACTGACAGGGATCATGAGGACACACACTGGAGTCTGAATGTGTGTGGTGAAATGGAGCAGTGTTGCGTAACGCGCACTGTTAATTCACTTTTAGCTGTATAAACCGCTACTGAATGGATAATCTTTCTTTGCATTTCTTTTATGGGTTGTGTGTGTTTGAAAGAAGGAGCAATAGAAGTACTGAGAGTGTGTTTACTTGCGTTTGCATATGTATGCACTGTATACACAGCTTTACTGTTTAAATACAGTAGCTGTAGTTTAAACAGCGCAGGCCCAATGCACCACTGTGAAGTCAGTCTGCTGTCTACTCAGACTCTTCTTTTGAAGTCAGCAATTAGGGGAATGGCTTTGGCTCCCATGCTGCTCAGCAGAAGTTTCCTTCCGGGGACGGTAGGTCTTTATATGAAATCTGCAAAAGCACATTTGAACTCATCACTAATCAACCTTGTAAATCTGACCTCACTAGCCGCATGATTTCTGTTTTCCAGTGTGCAGCTCTGTGTGACGCGTGTATATGCTTCATTAGCATTATAGATTGAAATGTAAATGGCACAGAAACTTGTTGCCCAGGGTTGTAGCAGGAGCCTGGTGGGGGAAGGGACACTGCGGTAGTGGTCAATATGTCAGGTCTCCTCCTGAAGCAAAGCAGATTAATAATACATGTGGTTACCAAGGCACCACATGCGTCCATGGTAACACTGTGGGAACTTGGGTGGACAGTGTTAGTCGTCTCCTCACCATCCAGCCCTGCTTCACGTTCTCTCTTGGCCAAGTCCTTAAAGCTAGCCTGTGGGTTTGTCAGTTTTATGTTGGTATGAATGTAGCTTGTGATTACTACGTTTCCATTGTACATTCACAAGAATCCTTTGGGTGGCTGTGGCCGCCACTCAGAAGTTTGGTTATTCAATCCTCGGCTCCTCCTGCTGCATGTCGAAAGTATCCTCAATACTGAACCCCAAATTGCTTCTGACGCTGTGCATCGGTGTGCGAAAGTGTGTAAATGCCCTTAGTTTCTGTTTCTGATGAGCAGTTGGCAGACCGTCAATGTTATCTCCGTATGAAAATGAGTGAATGTGACATGTAGTGTAAAGCATGGTGAGTGGTTGGAAGACTACAAAGGCACTATATAAATACAGTCCATTCACCATTTATTTGCTTTGTTCTCACTGCAGTACAAAGGATCCAGTAGATCTCTGGTTGAACCTTTCTACTGGAAAAGTTTCAGAATGACAAAATCATTTCAAAATGACTTCCTGAGTTGTCAACTGGAACCAGAGCTCAGTTCCCATCCCTGTAGAGGCATTGTGAAGACAATCAGCAGATTAATAAAAAAAAAACAATTATGAGCAGTTGCAGCCCGAAGTGACACAAATTCAAGTCAAATTGGTAACATCATTTGGCTGAGGTGGTTTACTGTCTGTCTAAATGACATATTAAATTCACAGTGTCAAGGCAAAGTATTACACTATTATTATTATTATTATCTGTATTTTTTTTGTGCTGTCAGATCTTTCTAGGAACTGCGGTTGCTGCCAATGACACATTTAGTGTCGTGCCCCTTGTGTCTCTTTGCTTCCCCTTTTCCCCTCCCCTAAGTGTTCTTCGGAAAGCAGTGTGATGCAAGTGTCTAATCTGATGTTTATGGTGACTCTGACCTGTGACCTATTTTCTGACATTAGATCACATGCTCTTTCCCACTACCGGACTCATAACTTATCTCCTTTCCTGTCCTCTCTGCTTCAGCAGCAGAAACAGCCTTGCATTACTTTTAACATTTTATGTGTATCACGTATTCATGTTTGATATTTTGATGTTTCACTGTATTCTTCTCTCTGACGCTGTGGTTGTATATCTCTCTGATCCATTTCTGCCTGAAAGGCTTTAAAGGCTTTTATTACTGCCAGGTTCTCTTCATCCCCTGACCACCGCCCTGGTCTCTTCCTAGGCCTGTACTCTCCACTACTGCAGATGTTGCAACAGTCAAAAAGAGCCTGTGATGGCTCCTCTCTTTTCCCCATGATCCCCCACAGCCTACTTTTCCAAAACTGCCTTTTCTCTCCCAAAGGCCCTCTAAGCCCTGTAAAATTCAGCATCAACGTCTGTTCTTTTTCCCATCAACCCCATGAAGACCAATCAAATTAGATTTTATTGTTTCAGCATGAATAAAAGTAATAACATAGCAGAATCACAATCAACCAAAAAAAGGAAAGTAAAACAGAATAAAATAATAGCTGGTTTTGGTTTGTGAAACAGAAAAGCAAAGAGCTGTAGCTCTGCTCTATACCTCTGTACTCTCCTCCTGCTGCATTGTTTGATTGCCTGTCACCTTTTTAATCAGGCAGATGCAGCATTTGTGTCTTTGCCAGTTTGGCCTAGATAGTGTACCGTCATTACATTTTGCCTGCTTCCTTTTGGGACTTTTGAGATGTAATAAAGATGTTGAATTTTTTCTTTTTGCTGTAGTTTAATGTATGTTTGTCCAGGATACAAATGTCCTAATTCTACTTCTCTTCTTCTCATAGTTGTCTAGCAGCAGAGTGAGCCTAGCCCCACACCATGTCCCAGGACAAGAGTGGATTCCCTATTATGGGTGAGACCAACCCACTGCATAACAACGTCTATGGGCCCCCTCAGCCAGGTTTCGGCATGCCCCCTCCCAACTACAGCCAAGCCCCAGGGGGACCCTACCCACCAGCAGCCGGCTACGGACAGCCAGGCTTCCCCCAGGCAGGCCCAGGTTTTGCCCCTGGTCCCTACCCTCAGATGCCTTACCCTCAGATGCCCTACCCACAGGCACCCTACCCTCAGGGGCCTTATCAGCAAGGACACGCACAGCCAGGCTTTCCAGGCGACCCCAGCGGTGAGTGGTTTAAACTTAAGATTGAGGCATTCATGAATAGACCTTTCCCTTTCTATGCCGCCTTATTCTTTATTAGATATGTGTCACAGAGGCGATAAACCACAGCAAGTAAGCAAGTCATGTCATTGGACTCTGTTTATGCTCCATTCTCACTTTGACAAGAACCATGTGCAGCTCAGCTAAAGTCGTGTTCATTTATTACTGTTCCAAAACGTTTCCACTTTCCTTCATATATGGAGCTGTCTCAGTTTTCCATGTGAAATTTGCCAGTTTGGAAAGAATTTTCTCTGTAAATGGATTTACACATTAAATTCTTGTGAATACTAGAAGAACTTTGTGACCACATTTTTATCCAGCAACCAAACACATCACTGGCTCCACTTTAGGCCAGACTTAACGCAGCCGGCTGGGCAATCAATGAGATGATCAATACTACAATCAGGATGTGCTCAAAATACCACAGACACGTGTCCATCTGTTTAGCCTAGTTTTTAGTTATCTTACCCTAATTGTCAACTTGTTATTGTTGTTCAGCAGGACCTGCTGGCAGCCCTGGTTACCATGGTGACGGACCTCCATCTTACTACGACAATGAGGAGTTCACCAACTCTGGTTTTGAGGACAAGAGCATCCGACAAGCTTTTATAAGAAAAGTACGCCCTTTACTGTTTCAGATAGATTCAATGGGTCCGTGTGTGTGAGTTAATGTAAAATACCACCAAAACGTCACCTCACCTAAAAATTACTTTATTCTTATTTCCCGCCAGGTCTTCCTTGTCCTCACAGTGCAGCTGCTGGTCACTTTCTCCTTTGTTGCCGTCTTCACCTTTGTCGATGATGCCAAGTTATTTGTGCGACGTAATCCATGGACATACTACGTGTCCTATGCGGTCTTCTTCGTAGCTCTGATCACCCTCAGCTGCTGTGGAGACTTCCGCCGCAAGCACCCCTGGAACTTGGTTGCACTGGTGAGAGCCTCTCCTTTAATACCAAATTGTAGAAAAGTATGGATTACCCGTTGTAAAAGTCTGTTTACATAATGAATAATAATTTGCACAAAAGGTCAAATGATTAATATAAAAACAATATCAACAACCACATCAGCTTTCAGTTACGTAGAATTTCTCAATCGGTGTAACCCTATTTTTCATATACAGTATTTCCAGTTCTGATCAGTTGAGAAACACTGATCTATAATAAAGACCGTGTAGATGGTACACTTGAGATTGTTTTTTTGAGACAAATCTCTCCACCATCATGGCCCTCATCGGCCTGTTACTGCATCCTTGATGTAAGGCATGAAGCCAGGAGTGAAGCTGGAAGTTTTTATTGTGAATCAGCTGCAGCATATATTGACATTGCATTAATTTAGTAACCTGTACTTTCTGGATAATTTTACCTGCACTGGCCCATTGGCACAGATAAGTAGATTTAAACACAGTGCAAATGTAAGGCTTTTTTTAGGCTTTTTTCACAGCAGTCATTGTGACATGTCACGTTAGGAAAAGCACAGGTGTAAATAATGAATACAGTGGTGACTCAATTTAATTTAGCTGCTTCACTTTCAGGGTGCCAGTACTGTGTATGCTGGCTCGCTGTCACACGCTAATGACTCACTGGAGCAATGAATAGAGCAGAGTCATTGTTAATGTTATTATTAACACCTGTTCTTTTCCTACAAGTCCAAACGTCTGCTGTAAAAGGCCTATACTGTAGGGTGATTCAATTTGGTTTTTTTTTTTTTTTTTTTTTCAAAAAAAAACAGATCAAAACATTTACAGGCAAGATAACACCTGCAGCTGTTAGCTTGCAGATATGGATGGATATGGATATGGATATGGATCACTTTGGTTGACCTGGAGCCTGTACTACAAAGTAGGATTTGGGATTACCGGGGTAACTTCAGGTCCTGGGTTTTTAATTTCTACGACGGTGGTTTACTCGTTACTGGGTACATCACCATAGGAACTTATGTTGAACAGCTGAAAAGGTTTTCCTTTAAAAGGGTTCTTTGAAATTGTTGCCTAACATGTAAAGTGTGTTAATTTGGCTGTGTTTTCTGTGTCCATCAGTCCATCCTGACCCTGAGCCTCTCCTACATGGTGGGCATGATCGCCAGCTTCTATGACACAGAGACTGTCATCATGGCTGTGGGCATCACTGCAGTGGTCTGCTTCACCGTCGTCCTCTTCTCACTACAGGTCAGCTGCTTGAATGAATGCATTTAAATGAGACACACACACACACACACACACACACACACACAGGCAAACATCAGTCCTCTGGTTCTTTGTTAAATGAGTTGTTAGGGGAGCAAAAGTGAGAAGTTTCCTCTGATTATTTTGTTTCACAGTGAAGTGTGCAACTAGTCAATCCTACACACTGCCCACTGAAGGCACACTCTTGGACAGGAATATCAGTATCTTACAATCATAGCTGCTTGTTAACCTGGAGACTATCTGTCTATTATTAAATACAGTGAGCGTGTTTTATTCACAGTAACAACAGTAAAAAACATTTGAAAATGCTTTAACACAGTATCCCTTTTATGTCCATAGACCATAAAACATTTTATGAAAGGTGTGTTTAAAATCAAACCCAAATAAAAAACAAGCTTTCTGTGCCTCATGGCTGCGTTTGAATCAAATTTCTCATATTTTTCCCAATATCTTTTCCTTCTCCTTCACCACAGAGCAAGTATGACTTCACTTCCTGTCGGGGCGTGCTGTTTGTGTGCCTGATTGTGCTGCTGCTCTTCTCCATCCTCTGCATCTTCATCCGCCACAGGATCCTGCACATTGTCTATGCCTCTCTGGGGGCCCTGCTCTTCACCTGCGTAAGTTTCACACTCATATTGTATGAGATGAGTGTGTATGTATTGAATGTACCTGAGAATGGCCAATTTCATTGGCTGTTGGCTTGTATTCAGTTATTGCTGTAATGTTGAAAAAGAAGATTTGGTGCGTCAGTAATGATTCTTTGGATGCCATTATTTGAGCGAAGGCAGTTCATTTAATCAAAGGTCAAACCTGTGAGTTAACTATCCAGTTGGGTAATTTGATATTTATGCGGTAATGGCGTCCAGTCGTCTGGATACAGTTACGAGACAGTCATCACCGTTGGCATACAGATGGTTTTCCACCTTCCAGTGAATTTATTCTGCTCAATAAGGGATAATTACATCTGCAGAATGTTAAAGAGTAAAGCCCAAACTGGGTAGGAAAAAGATTCATGCTTGGCTAGAGGAAACTGGGACTCTAACTTTATTATTAATATTGAATATTTGACCATGCATCATGAGAGTCAAAATAAACCAAAACAGCTGTTAAAATGCTGTGAACATTTTATTATATAGAGGGTAAAAGAAGTGTCATGGGCCAACAGAAGACGTAGACAGATCTATGCTAAAGTGAAATTCAATCAGATGGACAAAGATGCAATAGGATGCTTTTGATACAGAACAAAAGGCCTGATTGGCCTTTATTATATTCATGCTAAAGGAATATGGGCATAATGGAACGAGCAGATAGACTTGAGTGTTAAGAGTGAAAGGAAAAGCCAAGAAGACATGAACAGATGGTGTTACCAACGCTATCCTTTGTGGCATCCATATTGTGTCAAAGCTTGAGTGGCAATGAGATTGGAAACAGACCTGCATTGGTGTTGCTTCAGGTTCCTCTGAGATGATAAAATATTATCCAGGAAGTCAATAGATGCATAATTGTGCAGGTTAATCAGGAGCCAGAACACTGAGAAGTGGTTTATAATATTATGAGGAAGAATTTTACTAAGTTAGTTAGTTAGTAAGATGTATAATGAATATCCTGCTGCTTAAAAGTATTTAAGACATGTCTATATGTATTGTGTCTTTTGATTATGACAGTATACGGTTATATTTGGTGGATGTTACTGTACCATCTGAAACCATACCTGATCAAATATTTCTTATGTCATCTATAATAGTGCAGAATTTTCTTTAGATGACTAATGTTGTTTCTTCTCTGCAGTTTTTGGCTGTGGACACTCAGCTTCTCTTAGGCAACAAGAAGCTGGCTCTGAGTCCAGAGGAGTATATTTTTGCTGCCCTCAACCTCTACACTGACATCATCAACATCTTCCTCTACATCCTGGCCATCGTGGGTCGCTCCCGTGAATGAGGCTGCACTTAAAGAGAACAGGAGAGAGATAGAGAATGCCTCCCTTTATTGTGAAATGTTGCTAACATGCCCTTTTCTCTCTTAACTCCTTTTTTAATTTTTTCTTCACCTTTTTCACACGATACTCATCGTTTCCTCCCTTATCACACACACTGTTGTTTTTTAAAAAACAGGTAGTTGTGGAGGAGATGCAGCCTGTCATAAAATGCAGCTGAGAGACATTTATTTAACAAATCTTGCCATTAATGACAGAATGTAATGATCTGTCTTTTCCTCAATTTTGACCACTCTGCTTGCTGTAACTGTCCTACTTTATGTCTACGTTACCTACCGCCCAACTTCCACTTTGGCTCGGCATGCACAGCATACAACATGTCATCCTGTGGGTGCTTGGCACTCAGCCTCGCCTCGCTGCAGAGATCAAACAGGAAAAAGAGCGGGGAAGGTATCGGTAGCGCTTAATATTGATGCAAACCAGCTTTGCCTAAAGAGAAGAAAATAATGCTAGAAATACCCACCACCTTCAATCTATCTTTTTCCCCAAACTAACCATTCTCCTTCAGCCTGCTGGTGTAAAGTAACTCTGCATGGCAACATTGGAAACACAACTAAAGACATGATTCTTTAGGACTACCAGAGGAATGCATTTAGCTTGCTTCTCACAGCTGTAAATAGTTACGTGTATTACTGTATATGATGCCAGTTCCCCCCCCCCGAAAGGCATGCTGGAGTGATTCATATGGATGTGTTGCTTTTTGGGAAAAATGTGCTCTGATATCAGAACTTTGCTTACCCAGTATAGTAACTAAAATCTTTTAATGGCAACAGAATGAAGCTCAGTGTTGGATGTATACATGAACATAAATTAATATTTATAAACTATATATTCTTACGGAATATCTTTGCAAAAGGAAGACATTTTTGTTCTGAAATTGTTTCTCAGATGTCCCTTTTTAGATTCTTCCTTTTTTTTCCTTTACTGTCCTCTCTAATTTCCTGTCATCTGGTCATTAATGTGAAGTGAAGATTTAGTGCTGTATTTATTTCTCCCATTAAACCAAATGTGAACTGAAGTCGAAGGATTTAAATTTCCGACCGCTTTAAGCTGATCCAGGTTTCAGAATTTCTGAATTGATGAACACCAGACTTGCAGGAAATTATACGTTTATAAGCTTGGTGTAGATAACAGGGTTGCTTTGAGGTGGCCGCTGGTGTTGAGGAAAAAAAATTAAGGCTGTTTGGAAATTTACAAAGACTTTATTATTTAAGTTGATTGTGAAACATTCTGGCTCAACTAAGCGACACAGGCAGAAGAAATTAACATGCACTGGAAGCCAAAATAGTCCGACACAAACATATAACTTTAATGATGTATTTAACATGAACAATATTTTTTATTGTGTAACTTTCTGTATTGATTTTTCACCTCTTGCATGACCTACTCTGTCATTTGCATGTGCTGATGATGCACACTGTACAGGTATTCCTGTTTTGAGGAGACACAGTGTTGTTTGGCAGCCCTGTTAAACTTTTTTTTAACTCTTGTGTTTGTATCTAACTAACGTGTATGTGTATATAGAACTCCTTAGTGGTTTGATGTGTATAGATAAAGTACTTTTGGGGCTTTGTAGGTCTGTTTGCATTGTATATTTGCATTAAATCAAATGGAACCGCATTCCTGTACACTGCTGTTCGCTTTTCATTAAAACTAATTAAATGTAAATGTGTCGAACTTCTGTGTTCATTTACATTATTTCTGATGAACCAAAACAGCTGTGTTCTTGATTGTAATTACTAGAGCATGACGAAACATTTGCATCACAACATAGACATATATATATGTTAGTCAATATATAACAAAAAGTCATAGCACAAAATGCCAAAGATATGTTAATTTCCTAACACTGTTGCCATTGCATAGGTTTTCATAGGTTTTCCCAACCAAAGTTAAGGAAGTCTCATTAAAGTTTTGGTTATGTCATATGTTTGGGTTACAAATAGGACATTATCATCATCATTATTGTTTCGAATTATCTTATTAGCTTATGAAAAGTTGTTAAATATAATAGCAAATTTTGAGAGATTAAGATAAAAAAATTAGCAGTAATTTCCATTCAGTAGAAATAATACACGTGAATGTTTAAAATATAAATTGCAAACAAGTTATTATTATTCAGTTATTATAACACTTTCCAGTGTTGTCGCCATCACTGTCTATATTCCTCATAGTGGTCTTCATCATCACCATCACTGTTTACATTTATGATGTCCTATTTATTCTCCTGTACAGCACTTTGGTCAACTTTAGTTGTTTTTAAAGTGCTTAACAAATAAAGTTGGATTGGATTGGATTAGTAGAGCAGCAGTTAGTGTTCAATGTAACCGTTGGCGTTCCATCCATAACCGTTACCTGTAACCAACGGTAACTGGTCCACGCGCACGTTTGATATGTCTTTTGGCGGCTAACATCGCGTTCCGTGCTCGTGCGCAGCTCTCGTCCGCTGACAGCATATAAAAGGTCTCGTCAGTCCGGACCGTTGGCAGTCGGAGGTCCGCAGTGGAGGGATAGTTTCAGAAAAGACTCTCCTGTCTGGATAAACATGAGCGATTCAGCAGGTTAGATGGCGTCAATTTTAAGATTAACTATTAAAGTCACTGTAGCGGTTCATTTGTACAGATTTTAAAATAACTATAAGAAATATTTACGTTTACAGTCACTGTGTAAAATGTGTTATTTGACTCTGTCACCATCAGTTAGCTGACGATGTTTAACACGGTGGTTATTTAACATGATTGTAATAGTGCAGAGGAGAAAGACTGAGGGATAATGTTCACCATATTCCTTTATAACTGGATAATAACTCATAAGTGTTATTCTACCGTCCGCCAGAAAAGTCATTGATTTTAGTTAATGTGAGCTAACTAAGCTATGCTAGCTACATTAGAGTAGATAATGTCATATACTAATGTTATATATATATATATATATATATATATATATATATATATATATATCATCTCAGTCTGAGACAAAACCTGACAATGGCTGTACTGTTTCTGTACAAAGCTTGTAAGTTAACTTTAAACCATGTAACAGCCAGAAACACTTGCTCTTGGTCATCAATGGTACATGATGAGAAAAGACAAAACCTTTTCACTTGTCTTATATTTTTATTTGCGTAACAGGATTCAACATCGAGGAACTGATTAATGTTACAGCACTGAAAGGAGGTGAACAAGTCAAAGTTGTTTAAAGTACAAATTAAACTAATCTTTTAAACCCCCAAACCAGGCTCATTAATGTATTCTCCTGCCACCAGGTGGAGACATGCAAGAGCTCAAGGTTGAACAGGTGATGAGCAAATTAAGGAGGCTGCAACAAGGTAATGTTTGAAATGGCTAGTTAATCATTTGTAATGTCTATATTGTATTATAAAGAGAAGAAAGAAAGGTTGGTTGATATGGTTGTTATGGGCCTTCTCACTCCCAACAGCGACATCTATCGTACTAATACGAGAAGTTTTGTTAGTAGAAAGTAGTAGTTGTTGTCTTTTACAATGGTTATAAAGTTCCTTATTTACCTAAAGCGTGTTTTATTCCCTTCATTTTACTATCAGCATAGTGTCCCTGAGGGGTAACTGTATTGTCACATTTTAAATCTACTTGAATTAAAGCATTTTGGTCAAGTAAATGGTACATGTATAGCCGGAGAAGTCATCGCAGCGTGTTTCCGTCTTCGTGTTGAATCGCGCATGCGTGGTGCTGCGGTGTGATCCTTTGACAACTCGACCGATAATGTATCGTATTAGGAGAATATTCATCTTATAAGTATTAATGATCTCATTATAATCATATTATGGTATGACACATTCGCCTTTCTGCGCCAGTATGAATTTAAACTTTTAGTTTTAGCCAGTGCTGGATGTAAAGTATTATCTTGACATTTTAGTTACTCTTTGTAAAGCTGCACTTCCGCTTCCGCTGGAAAGTCTCGCTGCCTTTTTCTTTAATTACTCAGTAAATCAGTTAAACATTACCACGTGAACCACCTTTAGCGTCCATTAAAGAGGTAACCTGCTCTTACTATGTGTAAACAATTCAACACGGAGGTCTGAGGTCGACAGAAAGATCTGTGAATGTGCACCAATGAGAATGAGTTGTGTCGACAATATGCAAATGAACCCGCATTTCCTTTTAGATTTAACAGACAAAATAGCCTATAGAACTAAAACAACGTTATAGATTCATAAGTAATTATACTAGTTTAACCAAACATCCACTTAACAACATGAGACCCGTAAAAGATGAAAACTACCGCGGGAACATAAAACCGTGAGTGAGACGGTTGTATGCAGCGTTCATATCAGGTCTCACACCGAACAGTCAGTATCTTCAGTGAGGTACATCCTTACCTGTTACTCCCACCAAGGAGTATCAGAACATGATGAATGGAGACTCATGAGATATGATTAATATCTCCATCTTGTAGGGAACTGCAACACCCTACAAGACCCATTCTGACCACTATGTGAAAATCAATATATATGTGATCATTATGCATTAATGAAAGCATACTAAGATCATCTGGTTGTTCTGCAACTGTCTGAAATGTTTCCCAGACATTTAAGTGAGTATTACAAGTATATTTTTAACAATCACGATGCAGTAATGAACAACAGTTGTCATGTTTCTGTTCTTGCTCTATTTAATTTAAGGTAAAAGCATCCTGGAAGAAGAAATAAAGGAGATCAAATCAGTCAGCGATTCATTGCAGAAAGAGCTGTCCACTCGTAAGAAACAAAATCACCATTAATAATTTTATTTTATACAATATGCTTATTGTACTTGTATGTACCTGCTGCTTTTATGTAGTAAACTATATGTATATACCGGTAGAAAGTATTTTGTTTCCATTAAGCAACCAGTTATGTTACATGTTATTTATCATAACATGTATTGTATATTGTTGTTTTTACAGTACAAACTGAAGCTTACCGACTCGAAGGAATCCATAAAGAAAAAGAAGGTACACACCCATTACTCTAACAAACAGTTTATTATTATATAAGTATGTCGATTTGTTGTTGGTTTTACTGTGTCTGGAAACAAATGTATCATCTATTAAATAAACACAATAATTATGAATAAGCCGATTACCGTAAGTACTGTAATGTCTTTCTCCAGAGTTGTGCATGAAGCTGCAGTTCCAGTGTGAGGAGTCTGAGCATGACTCTGACAGGTGATAACTGATATTATTGAATGTTTTCAGCTATGACGAGTTTGTTTCAGTGTTTTGCAGTCTGAAGTAAATTACATATTGTGAGACTTCAATTGTGTGTTTGTGATGTGTACCACTAGATGGCAGCAACTTATTATTGTTGAATCCTGGATACTTTCTTTACAAATTGTCTGGTATCAAACTTGTATTCTTAGATTTTTTTTAGATTTTATTCTGTTATGATGTTTTCTGTGTCAAATTTTGTGCTGTATAATAACACTTTTTTAAAAATATTCATAATTCTTAATGAATGAATATAATTTTAAAATAATTTACTATTTTAATGATACATTTTTATTCAGTTACGAGTTTGATACCTTGACTTCTTTAGTTTTATGCTTTTATATGTTTGTATTGTTTACTTTCACTGTTTAATCTTTACCTTATTTAATCTAATCCCTGTATATGCAGGTATTTAACTTGCAAGCACATTTTCATGCCTGTGTCCCGAATAGACTTAATTTAAATAATGTGTGATTGATTATACTATACACCACATCCTTAAGTAATACATGGTTGTTACATATGTTTGTGTACTGTCACAGGATTATGTGATAATTATATTACACACAGCAGGTTTACGTTGTAATAGACTTGTTCTTAAAGGCTCATTGTTTACTGTATTTGGCATCAAGTGTTGTAATGTTAAAGGTATGCTACAGAAGTCTGTTTGTGGTATGATCACTCAACAAGGCATCAAATGTGTCAAGTAAAGATCATAGACTATACATTAACAATTTGATGACCTTGTGCTAAGTCTACCTTGCACACTGTAAGTTAATAGTACCACAGGAAGTGTTAGATTATATCCTGCACTGATGAACTACATGTGAGTTGCAGGCAGTTAAAGCAGAACAAGAAAAGTGACGAACTACTGGAACAGCACAAATGTGAAATCCAAGAATTCAAGCTTAAACACCGGAAGCAACGGTACCAATTAAACATGCAATTAAATGTTTAAATAAACTTACCGAACAACCTTGTAAATGTTGTAAATTTACTAAAGTCAGTCTTGTTTGTGCAGGATGAAGTTTGAAAACCAACTTAACCAACTGATAGATCAGCATAAGAATCTGCACTCTGTCTTTGTAAGTTTGTCTGTTTAATATAAAACAAACCTTGAAGGTCCAGTGTTGAACATTTAGGAGGATTTACTGGCAGAAATATAATATGTATATATGTATGTTTTCATTAGTGTATTAATAGAATAGAATGTGTCTTGTTGATATTGTTAATGACTGTTGTCCTTCTTATTGTTACTTAGACTCCAGAAAGACTCCCAGATGAAATAGAGGCTGCTGAGAATACAAACACTCAGCTGTTATCAGCCGGTAAGCTCCCTCTCATAAGTTCTGCACATTCTTCCACAAGCATGGGTGCAGTAAAACATTTTTTTGTTTGTGCATGAATGTAGTGTTTGTTTGTTTTTTACTTCCGACCCCTTTGATCTGGTTCTCTGATTGCTGTAGAACAAATGAAGTTGGCTCAGCTGCACCGCCTTAGTGAGGAGCTAGAGGAGGTGAGGAAACGGAAGCAGCCAGCGACAGCCGCAGACACTCAGGAGGAGACATTTTTGTAGGTAGTTTTAAAAACTCACAGGTAATTTGTCTTGTCAGGTGAAAACCTTAAACCTCCCAAATGTCAGCTTTCGAGGGTTGCAACCAGTAACCAAACCAGTACGGCAAGAAAAACCTAAATGTTCAGTTGACCTCAAAGTGAAATGAACATTTCATTGTTTACTCTCTCTGTTAAAGTCTATTTTTTCTGAATGTACTTTTATATTACTTGTTCTATAATCCAGTTTGTTGTTGGAATTGAAGCCAAATGTATTCATGAAATCTGAAACATTACATTCTGTGACTGGTGAAATGTATTTTTCAGCAGCATCCTGTATGTTATTTAATATAGTCTGTTTATATAATATACATGTTGCTTATTTAAGTGTCTTGATATTGTTGTGTGACTATGAATGAAAACAGTACAACATTTACTGCCCTTTACAAACGTACTGTATATAAGTCCACACAGCCATATTCAACTTCAGCTTCAAAGAGATTTAATAAAAGACTTTTGCAGTATTTCAAATACAATGTAATACTGTCTCAGTTTTTTTTTTTTTTTTTAAAGAACACATTGACCCTGTGCAACTAATTCCCCCTAATTAATGCCAATTAGTTTTTACAGCCGAGACCACATACTTACATATTAATTAAAAATAAACACAAGGCACTTTGATAGTACAGTGAGGGTGATCACAATCTAATTTGTTACTTAAAACATCACCCAGGACCTTTTATATAAATATGTACAAAATATCCCATAAAGAAAACCGTGTAACCCCTGAAGTGTCAATATAGTAATATATCCTCTTTTGATCAATCTCTTGATGTGCCGCACAAAAAACACACTAAACGGTTTGATGCCCTGCCGAGCTGTCAAGTAGCCTGTGAACTGTACCATACACCCACATCTTTGGTTAAATAGTGCTAACAGACCAACAAAGGAGTTCTACGTAGGGCGTAGGTCTCAGAAGTTAAGTGACTTATGAAAGGAGGCATGGCCCTGCTCCAATACTGCAACAACATATCCATCCTTTATCTCTTTCTTTCCCTTAGAGCTGATGACTAATTTATTTATTATTTTACAGATTCAGGGCAACTGCAAATACTGTACATTTTTATTTACATTACATAAGAAAAACTAGTACACATTTCTTTTAAAAACTCTCCAGCAGTGAAGTGGGTCCACACCTTAATAGAAAGGTACATAACGCTCTCTTGAGAGGCTAAAGTTCACTACAGGCTCTACTTTCTATCACAACTCTACTGCTGCTTCCTCAACACTAGAAAAACACATTTTCTCACTTTCTTTATTCAGATTTTGTCTCACTCTTCCTGTAACCCCCCAAATTTCACCCTTCATCAGTTCTTCATCTCATTCTATTCCTCATCTTCATGTTCTCATTTGTTTGGATGTGGGTTAATAATAGTCCTAGTGTTTGGTTATGCCCTTGGTGGGCCATTGGCACCCAAGAATCCACAAGGACACTTCCTCCCATTCAGTTTAAAACTAATCCCAGCTAAACAGACCACCCATCTCCCTCAGGTGCAAAATGTACTGTCTTTCTCTTATCCTCTCGATCTCCCTCAGTCACGTTCATACAAGCTCATTTATAGGTAAGTTGCCCTACCTTTTTCTGTTTGGTGAAACATTAGTCCCTGAAACCAGTACGCAAGCAGAGTCGCTCTTCTTTCTCTCAGTCACCATATAAGGTAAAAGTAGTACCAAGTCTTGGCAAACGGGTACATTCCAAACCCAATGACTGTAGTTTGTTTTCAGCATTTTATATATTGTCTTTTTCAAGTTTTACTACTTCGTGTGAAAATCCAGGAAAGGCTGCCATGTGGAGCAGCAGAGGTACTTTGATAGTGTTGTTGGCACATACGGGCAATGGGTCTTTTTGATCGTCTTGCATAAAGAGTTTCCATATAAAAGGTCGCTCCTCGATTTTCCGTTATCCCAGGTTGTTCCCCATCTGTTAACAGAACAACAGGGATAACGGTGAATGAACAAAGTATGAACTCAGTTTCATCTAACCTTTCCCTCCTTACTACTATCAATATTTTGAAGGTTTGGGGGACAGTTAATACACTTTAATTTAACCAGTAAACCAGCAAAGGTAAATCCAAATTCAGTTGTATTTAAAATAACTTGTATATAAAGCAATAAACATTAGCTTGACCACTAAAATTTATTTTCACAGCTTAAAAGCAGCAGACTGTCAAACATCAAATCATTGTTTGGGAATAGAAATGACTTTCAATTGTAACTGTAACTATGGAGACCATGTATAAAAATATGTAATTAAAAACTTGCCTAAAGACAATTGTTTATGTACATTTTATGTATAATACTTATTTTCATTTTCAAACTGACTTAACAGGATCTTTGAAAATCAAATTTTACATTAACATTACAACACAAATTAAAAATATTTGAACATCTTTATGGCTCAGAAAGTTTTACATTACTCTTAAATGTATTGTATACCACTCTCGTTGTTTATACTGCTCCATCTGATCAACTCAAACAATGTAGGATTTAGTGTTTATATTTTAAACAGCTGGCTTTTTGTAGCGCGATTTGAGCTAAACCCCTCATTCCCTTAATACAATTCCCTTAATACATCTTTACTACTTGTTTACACCTAACACTACTTTTTCTATCGTTCATATCTCTTTCCCATCCATGCTGCAAACATCATCCTTGCAGTGATAGACTACCTCAAAGCGGCTGTAGACCTTCTTCTCCTTCCTCATACTCTCTATCCTCTTCAGCAATCCCTCCCGCTCCTGGATGTTGCCCTGCGGTCGCAGAAATCGATTTATTTTTATGGAGTTCTGCCTCTCCAGCCCCTTCTCCCCGGCATCACTATCTCTGTCCCCTCCCGTTTCTTCTCGTTCCTGCCGGTTCTTCTGGCTGTTGGCCGAGATCTGCTCCAGAATGACTTTGGTGTCATCTCGTAGGTTGCTACTGAACAGGACAGAGCTGCCCGGGGCCTGGTATCGAGATGGGCCGGATGTGCTGGTTGATGTCTTGTGATTGGCTGTAGTTTGATCAGTAGTGGTAGATCCTGTATCTTTAGCTGATGAACTTTGCTTTTTGCTTGAATCTCCAGTGACCTCTATGACCGTGCTCATGCCCTTATCGTCTCCTGAAGATTTCTTCTCTTTGTCCTTGGGCCCGAGGAATCCCTTTAGCCTCTGAGTCTGCTTCTTTAAGAAGTCGAGAGTCTTACCCTCACTCTTTCCCTCACCAAGTGTGTTGATGGACGTATTAGATCCCATAACCTTTTGCAGTCCTTCTTTAAAGTCATCACGTGGCATAGTTGAAGCACTATGTGAACGGCTCTTTTTCATTTCACTCTTCTCTGCGTCTGTAGCGTCGGTGGTCAGAACGTCCTCACCGCAGGAGATGCGGCGAGGATTCAAGCCTTTGAGCTTCAATGGCTCCTTTCTGAAGATCTTAGGCGAAGGAAGGGGCTTTAGAGACTTAAATATATCTTTCTTTTGACCCTCTGACGCGTTCTCCTCTTTATGAGGTTGCGATGTCTCTGAAGGCTTCACGTAGCTCGCAGAAGGCTTGGTGGCGCTTATAGGTGGTTTTGAGGAACTAACTGAAGGTCTGCGAGCGAGCTCTGCCAGTTTTGCAGAGATGTCTGGCTTCTTTGGTTCACTTTCTGCTGGAGTAACAGAGACAGTTGGGATCTTTGGAGTTGTCACAGGGTCAAGGGGAGGTTTATCAGAAAGGTCTGGCTTTTTTTCAGCAGGCTCTGGGGCTTTTAGTGATGACTCTGTCGCCATTCTTGAGGCTTTTCTCTTGGCAGCCAGATCCTTGAAATACTGCAATCGACTGGCAGGGTCATTCATGTTCAGAGATGATGATGTTGTGTCTTCAGACTTCTCAACACTTGATTTTGTCTTTACCTCTTCAATAGTTTTCTGAGGCTCCTCTTTTGCTTTAATCTCATCTTCCAATCGAATCTCCTTTTCCTCTTGTCGCTCTTTCTCCTCTTTTACTTCTCTCTCTTGCTCCATTTGTTTCTCCTTATCTTTTCCCTCAGTCTTCCTTCTCCACTCAAAAGGCTCACGAGACAATGACCTCCTCTTCTCCAGGATCTGCGCCACAATGGAGGAAGTGCGTACTGAGTCTAACTGCTCATCTTCCTCTGTGGCTGGTTTTAGGCCCAGGCCGCTACTGTGCACCTCTGCCTTGGATGATGAGAAAATAAGCGAGGAACGCAGTCGAGAGCTACGTTGAAGGAGTGGGTTAATGCGTGAGTGGAATGATTCGTGTTTGGACAGGAAAAGATCTGGAGCCTTTTTCACCTCCAAATCCCCACCCACCTCCCTTGTAGCACCCCTCTCTGTCTCTCTCTCCCTTTCCTTCGCTGCCTCTCTCTCTGTTTTCTCCCATGCAAATGGCTTGAAGTCACTAGCTGACGGAAGCAGGTCCTTGGCTTTTGTTGGGGCAGAGTCTCGATTGTTGCTTTCAGGTATGGCGGGCTTTCCAAAGCGTGGTCTCAGGATATCTGGTCTGGGTTTAGGGGGAACATTCGGAGGCTCCTTTATTCCTAAGCGGGGAGCTGAACTTTCAGGGGCAGTTGGCTGCTGAGATGGTGGAGGATCTTCAAATGCATCAGGTCCCATAGGTTGGGGCAGACCTTCTTCCCCACTGTCCTCGTAAGTACTCAGATAGGAGTGGATTCTCCAACTACGCATGCCTTGCCTAGCATCTGCATCTTGATCATGTTCTTGATCAGATTGTTTGGGAAGGTGTCTCTTCTCTGGTGGGTGAGGCTGAGTGGGTGAGCTTTGACAGGCATATGCCTGACCTATGCTTGGCCTCTTATTGGAGGAACCTCCTCCATACCTCCCAGCTAATGGAGGTCCCTGGTGTCCCTCAGGTGCTCTCAAGTCCTCAGATGAAAAGTAGTCTCGGCCATAGTTTCCAGCTGGAAGATCCTGATCTGAGCGATAGCTTGAGTCTGAATACTGGTCAATGGAGAGGTGTGGAGGACGACCTCGAATTCTGTCATAGTGTCCGTGGCCAGAACCTGGCCCAGGCCCTTCGCTGTAGTAATGGCTACTTTGGGTCTGCTCCCTGTAAAGAAAACACAGTGGTTATTTTTAGTTTGACTACAAAATTGTGTAATGCCACGTGTAATGACATGTTCTCGTACAAGGTGGTGATACATGTGATGATTCTGAATACTTCAGTTCAGGTATTAAAGGGGTAAACTACCTGTGGAAGTCTGTCTCATCCAGATTATTCATGACTCTGTGCTTCATGTACTGCCTCGAAGATGTGTAGTTTTCCTGGGTCCCTTCTGCATAGCTGTGCCTCTTGAAGGCATTGGCACTCATCTCCATCTGCCTGGAAACTATTGACCTTCCCTGCTCCATGAACGACTGCTGAAGACGAAACTGTTGCTGGGAATACTTCCCAATTGTAATCCCTGCCCCAGGTTCAACGGTGTGACGAAATGGGTCATTCCTCCGGAAAGGAAGTGCAAGGTTACGATCAGAGTCTCCGTAGGGGAAGGCAGGGGGAATCTCAGGCTGCCTACGGTAACCTATGGGGTTACGCATAGACTGGGTCCTTTTCAAACCGAATTGGCTGCTAAAGTAACAGCTGGTGCTGCTGGTGTCAGAGACAGCAAGTGCTCCATCAGATGGGTCAATGACTAGAGGTTCGGACTGAGCAAAGAGAATGCGAAACTCTTCATCAAAGGTGGCAACCAGCTCCCCAAGGAAGAGGTGGGCGATACAGCGGTGGATCTTCTCATAGGACCACATGAAACTATAAGAAAATAAGAAAGAACAGTGGAGGTGATTAGAGTACATTTAAAGAATGATTGGAATTAATTTAATTAACTCAAAATAAAAGGAATTTAAAGACTCACCTGTAGTTGCCACTGAGTACAGCCCTACAGTCAGCCAGTAGGAAACGATCTTTCACCTGCCCCTTAAATGATTTCCCTGTCCGGGAATAATAGGTTATCCCTGCCACAGTCCTGACACGCATCATCTGTAAAACAAATTTTCATAACAAATTATGTTATGGACATGCAAGCCTTGGTGGAAATGATACAATGACTTAAATAACACAATAATTACCACAGGTTAGCCAACTATCATTCTAGTCTTTTGAGGAAAACTTAATGAAAAGGCAAACTCACAGGAATTAGGTCCAAGTTGACTTTGCAGTTGATGACCATAGAGACAAAGTGATGGACTTCCACTTCATCCAGCAGAATGTAAACAGGGACGTGGCGTGCTGCTGCATCCAAGAGGTCAGCAAAAATGTCAACATCTGTGAACCTGTCCATCACCACAGCAATAACCTGGAGAGGATGAGCAAACACAAGAAAACCAGTCAAGGTTTGGTCAGTATAATAGGATATAAATTAGCCCTGTTGCTGTTGGTTAAATGAGTAGGTGATTTAAAATTACAACACCTGAACATTTACACAATTTGAAGGAACAATGGAAGCTGTTCATTGTGCATTAGGCTGTCAAAAAAGACTGTACATAACATTTGTGGTACATTTTAAGGAATTACTAATAGATTCTCCTAAGAGTGTGAAAATTAAGTTGGATGTTAAGCCTAATTTATTTACTATAGATAGTATAAAAAATGTAACATTGAATTAAAATATTTAACACCACAATGGACACTCTCAACCAAATAGACAAAATGTAGATTCAAGCACACTCAGTTTATCAGCAATATAAACGTAAGTTAAATTTACATAACAAACATGATATAGAACCTGTCTATCATCTAAGTGCATGTTGAAACATTTACTTTATACTTTATGACTCTCCTGAGTCCCTTATACATTCTGAGTTAAAAAGAGACACCCTTGTACTCTTTGAACACACAGAGACAGACAGGGTCCACCACACCAACAGGTTTGACTGCTTGTGACAGTTGGCATCTACACTTTGTGATAATTGTGTTTTTAATTTAGCCAAAGGCCAATAAGTAAGACATTCATCTGCAAGGGAGTGGTGGCAAAGTTGGCAGTGGCAGATAAAAAGTCTGAAGTAACAATACGCTAACTCAACCCACACACAGTCACTGGCAGCCCTTTATCTCATCTTGTTGTTTTGAGATAATGTTGGTACAGTACATACTGATAAGACAGAGAAAGAGGATACCATCCATCAATCCAAAGTACTGTATGTGCATAGAACATATGTAGCATATTTGTAATAGTTCACACTGAATAGAGTTCAGTTTATGAATGTGGAATGCTTTGATCTCATCTTTTAGAGCAATTCTTTCTCAGAAATACCTGCTGAAAGCAAACTGCACATGTAACTCCTCTTCAGGTTTTCTATCCCCCCCCCCCTTTTACTTACTTGGCATGCATTCTTGATGAGTCTCCTGGCTTGCTCCTTGATGCTTGGCATATCTGGGTCGGAGGGGTTGACCAGAGTGGTGACCTCCGTGGGCCCAACGAAGCTGTGCTGTGGTAGCGGCCAGCCCAGGTCCAACCCCGGGGCAGCCAGGTCTGACTGCACAGGCCAATAGGTGTCGGAGGAGCCATCGACCTCCTGACCTCCCTCGTGGTATGTCAGCTCTGGGACGCTGGAGGTCTGGTTGGGAGTCTGGATTGTGGACTTGATGAATTCAATTTCTGACTGTGCCAGGAAACTGACCACATCTGCGGTCTGGAGGAATTCCAAGTAGCCCTGGTGTGACAGTAGACAAATACAAATTCATTACATCATAAAACCAATGTACAGATCTGTTTGGAGGGTCTTTTAAATACATTAAATAGTAGAAAGTAGAAGACTGCAGTGTTACCTGTATGTCATTTTCTATCAGAGCATCAATAGCTATACGATACTCCTCACGATAATGTGGGGGCAGGTAGTTCGGGTCAAGGGGGTTATCACCAATTGATGAACTTTGAGATCGGTGTGCCATGGTTGGAGAGAGGTGTGGCACCAAAGGTCAGGGGTCAGGGATAAGGAGAGGGAAGGAAGGAAGAATTTGAACCTGTGCAGAGAAATCAGAAAGAAACGTTCAGTGCACGGAGAAGTGATCAATTTAAAGTGTAATGCACATTTCTAATATAACCGTATTATTATTTTTATTTTACAGCCTGTTTTTGTGTTTTGGATAAATAACATTAAGAATCACAGAGCATACAGGTACACAAAAGAAGTAAATATTTTCATGTGTTCAGTCACACTGCTTTTGTAGTTGCAACTAGATAACACACCACTCCTCCATCTGTGATACACAATACTCATAATTCAACTAAATATTCCTCAGGGTGGCGAGACGAAGAACATTATGTGTCAGGATACACAAGCAGACAGATTACTTATACTTATACTTGCACAAAGCATCTATTGTTGCTGAGTCAAGGCCTGTGTAGTAAGCTGAACAAGAACACCTTTCATATTAGCACACCTCTACCGGCACACAATACGACATGCTTATAAACGTTAACAGTTCTGACAGATCTCCATCTTCCTTCCCAACGAGGTTTCTAAGTTTATAAGGGAGGATTTATTTGTATTATTGACATTAACATTATACAAATACAAAATAGGTGTTTTTTTTCTACTGGCAATTGTAATTTTTCATTGTACAGGGCAGAGTCTGCTGCATTTCATCACATTTTACAGCCTCTGTAGTTCACTGAGACTCCATTTTTATTGTTGGACTGTAATTTAAAGTTGTCTTAGTTCTTATTTATGCCATCATCACACTGCTTAATTGCCCATTTCATGTAACATTAGAGTAGCATTCAGCAACGAGAAATCCAGGTTGCAATAGCACCAATGATTAACTGAAATTCAATCTGGCTTCAGAGAAAACTGTACATAAAGGTAAGAACAAAGAAAAAACAACAGGATACGGAAAATACAATGTGAGAAAGAAGAAAGTCAAGTAAAAAATGGAGGAGTAAGAGAGGTGGGGAAGGCATGAAGAGGTGTATAGACAGGTTCCCTCTTATCTTTGCTCAGTAAATATTCATGCTGGTGCGTCATCCTTCAAGTTGCTACTCAGACCTCATCCTGAAAAATCTGTGTCAGTCATAAGTTCATAACACACAAATTGAGCATGATGAGTAAGCTTTTAGCTATGCCATGACTTGAACAGACTTAAACTTTTTTTTTAAGGCAGTGAAAGGAACATTGTTATGTAACAATTTTGTAAAGAGGGTGAAGAAGTTTAGGATTCAAGTTCACATAATTCATATAAGAATGAATTGATTCATTAGATACTGAACTAATTCTCTCACTGTAAGTCCAAAAGAGACAATAAGCCACCAAGATAGAAAAACAAGATAGATGGAAGGCAAAGGCAACTAAACCGGACACAAGGACATAATAATAATTAGGGCTGTAACTCACAATTATTTTCATTATTGATTCATCTGCAGATTATTTTCTGAATATATCAAATGTCAGAAACATCACACTAACCTTGTCTTGTCCGACCAACACTTTAAAACTTAAATATATCCCGTTTACTATCACATAAGAAAAGGAAAGGCAGCTTAAACAAGGCACACTGGCATTTTTGCTTGAAAATGAGGTGATTATCAAAAAAGTAGCTGTTTAATTTTCAGTTAATAACCTACTAATTTCAGCTCAGCTCTAATAACAATAGTTGGGTTATGTCCACTTTGTTTAGTGGTACATTGGGCCATCATTATTTGGCATCTGTTAATTATTTAGTGGTTTTAAAAAGATAACGTAGATGATCATCACTGCCTCTTGTAGGAAACTGTTTGGCATTAGATGAAGGAGGAGAGAACAAGGATGAAGATGTGACATAGTTCCCAGGCTGGAATCCAACCCACAACACAGTTATGTGTTATGCACTGAGCCAAACAGGACACCCGCTCATTGATATTTAATGTGGTCCTGACAGCTGCATACCAGATGGGTCATCAGATGGTGGAGATGAAGGTTAACAACCACTAAAAAGTTCAAGCATCGAAAGTAAGCTGGTTGATAAATCTCAGGAACAAACACGAGTCCTGCACATTGCTGCTTGTGGTCTAAACAGGAAGTGTTTTTGACTGTGTGGATACATCACCATGGAAATGTACAGCCTTAGGAACTATGGTTGATTGGCAGTCTGGGTGTGTGCGGTTGACGTGGGGTCTGAGTGAGAGGGTAAAGAGGTATTTTGTAAGGTTGTACCTGCTTTAGAAAGAGTGTGACGTGTGTTTTCTGTAAACTTCCAGGCACACTTAGAGATTGGTGGCGATAGCAAAAAGGGCCCTGGTTCTAACCCTGCAAGCATTGGGAGAAGCCGGTTTACTCAGAGGCCTGGTGAGTCACCGGGGAGCCCGGCCTGACCTAGCCTGCAGATAACTTGCAACACGCTACACTGTGGTGATTCATCAGCTGGCAAAATGGCTGACATCCTGTTTCCTTAGTCCTTTCTAGCCATAGAAATTTTGGCCTTTGCGGTGGACTGTTCCCATTTAAAAGTTCCATGGTGGGCAGCGAGGCACGTTAGGCGCACATGGAATAACTTTACTCCTGCCAAGTTTCTAAAATTGAAGAACCATTTTTTTCCTTCTTGTTCTTTATTTTAAAGAAATCTAGCAGCCTGGGGCTTGATGTGTATGAAAGTGAATTGTGCAGAGGCAGCAGTAACGTGTCGTACATACCTGAGGACTTGCGATAACAACCATAAACTGAGAGATGTGCATGAGCTTGTGTCATAATGTTTCAACCTCAGAAAAGCCATCTGACATGTGTGGCAACACAACAGCCAGAAATAACACTGCAAGTTCAAGTTATGAAACTGTTAGTACTGCTGTTGTTGTTTTTCAGATGCAAAAATAAAAGAAGGCAACTAACAGTTATTTTCATTATTGACTGATTTTCCTGATGAACTGTTTACTCCAAAAAACCCTGAGGTGGATATGAGCTAAGTGGGTGACTCAAGAGCACAGAAGCACTAAACAAAGCCCAGGGGTTTCTTATTCACCCTCCTAACCTCTGGGTCACTGCAGAATGAAGCAACACAAGAATAATACAATATAAGAAGCATGACAGACTTACCCCAGCTAACCTGTCTGATTGACTGACTCAAACAAATACTGCTGCTTTGTTTGTTGTTATAGCAACTGCAGTAAGCATCAAACTGTAGATAGTGACACGAGATAATAGAGATCTTTCGCTCTCTGTTCCTCCCTTTATTTATAAAGCTTTCTGTTGCCCCCACAAGGACAAGCCTGTCTTAAATGCACCATTCACAAAGCCAGTTTGAAACACTAAACCACCACCAGTAGGCAGGCAGGCAGGCAGCAACCGACTGCCGCTTCTCCAGGCTGATAAACCCAATATTAAGATGTGCCCAATATTTGCTCACTAAGCGTGTAAATGGCTCATTCTCAGCATTCCTGTATGGACGTGAGAAGAGGGAGAGACAGAATAAGTGAAGAGCTGAGGGAGGGAAAAAATGCTTATCTGTCTCAACATGTATATAAAAGCCTGAGGAGAGACAAACTATCAAGCACAAACTCCAAAAAAATATTTCCACTCTCACTGTCTGTTTTCTTGCTGTCTCTCACTCTCTCTCACACACACACATACATGCATGCATCTGAACACACCTCACTAAACAAACACTATGATTGATCCGACATACCTCTCCGCTCGATTCATTTTGTGTGATAATTCGGTGTGAATGGGGAGAGGAAACAATTCCTGAAAACAGGTTTGGAGGGACGAGCCAGTAATGTCCTGATGCTCCTGTCACAACCTTTCAGTGCCATTTTTCATCAGATTAACACACACACACACACGATATAGATATACAGCAAACACAGAGCACCACTTGTCTCTCTGTACATCATCACCCCTCAGCACAACTTTTGAATGCCACAGCTCAAGGTCAGGTACACATACACTGTATGTGAGAACACAATGCGACGCAGAGCCTCCCTCTTTCTAAATGTGTTTCACGCAGGAACGCTGCTCGAAAAACAGGTCCTCTGAGGTTCCCGTCATCTGTTCCAACTGCCCTAATGTCTGTGGTTAACTTGAGTGGAAAACCCAACAATAAAAGCTTAAAAATGTTTCGACTTTGCCTCCCCTCTCTCCCTTCAGAAGCTCAATGATGCTCATACATGACTTACAACCTCTATACAAATAGACAATAACCCCTTGTAACGCATACAATGAAAACAGAGCTATGAATGGGACGCAGCCTCGGCATATGGCGAGTGTGACAAGATGAAGTCTGTAATGAGAAGCACACAAGCACAGACACCACAGAAACGCTGGCACTACAGACTTTTTCCCCTTAAATTATAACCACATGTTGGGACTATTCCTATCCAGTGAGTCACGTTGAATGAATCGAGGCCAAAGCCTGTAAAGGTGAAGTTTAAATCAATACACAGCTTGTTTGAGTCAAAGGTTTAAAAAAACACATTGATTTGTGTCTGCAATAAAGACACTATCAGAGCCTATAGATCTATAAGTCTGTAGGACATGTGGCAGGAGACATCCTTGCTCAACAGACATGGCTGTATCATTAGAAGGCAAAGGCCCCACATTATCTCACCATTTATCTCTAAATAATAAGCATCTCAAGCTGGTCTGACACAACCTGCAATGCATACTACACATAGCACTGTGCAGCCTTCAGGCATGAGACATGCAGAAGTGTCCCTGCTACTTCAAGCATTATTTATTACCAGCTGTTCCCTACAATAGGCCTACATAGTTTGAAAAAAAGTAGCTATTTTCCCCTTTTATTGGTTGCCTCCACGGTTTGTCAGTGCCAGCCAACGCGGAGCCCTCTTTGTGTTCTCAGACTATAATAACAATACTGTTCAGGTTTTGCAATGCACAGCAGCTACCTGGATGACTTGACCTGATGAGGAAAGTAACCAGCATTTCACTTTTATTCCACTCACATTAATGGTGTAATAGAAGAGACAGAACTAGGATACAGAAGCAGATATCAAACCAAGAAGGTACTATTAGAATAGAAATATATAACAGAATAGATCTTTATACAATTAGAGCAGCGCATGGGGCAGAAAAGAGCAGAATAGTACATAGTGTGAAAAAGACAATAAAAGCGGATAAGACACAGTACAAAAGACCCTCTGTACACATTGCCCTTTTGTCCCAGTTTGCACTTGCAAAGTTGGCCCATAGCTCGTTTCCTTGTCTTATCTCTGTACCGTGAAACCGCCGATGAGCGTCTCCTTCCCGTCGGTGTGTCACATTCCTCAGATCCACAAGCGCTCCACCCAAAAAACAAAAAAAAACCCCGGTGTGCACCCTCCAGAGCCGACCGGCGAAGACGAGGCGAGGCGAGGCGAGGCAAACACGGGACACCAGGCCCTGGCTGAGCGCTTCACTCCGCGGCGTGTGAACCTCCAGAGCCGCCGCCGCTACAAGGCGCAGAGCAGCGCGGTGAATGAGGAAGAAGCGGGGCGACTCCCGTGAGGAAGGGCTTTCCCACCGGTGTGACTCCTCCCAAAGCCGTTGATCACTGGGAACAGAAGACCATTGGAAGTTCACTCCCAGAGGCTTATTTCAAAAGTGCTGGCCTTTATGTCTTGGCTGCTAATTGGTGTTTTATCGAGGCTTCATGACACAGAGAAAGTGTCTCCAAACTTTTACCCAAAACTTTCTTTCATCGGATGTGCCAGTTTTTTTTTCTTGTTTTAATAATTCAGCCTTTTTCCAATGACTACTCAGTTTTTGTCTTATTTTTGCACTTGTTTTGTTTCGTCTTGCCACCTTATGTTGTCTTTCTCAACTTAAGTTGTCTTGTTTGTACAGTTTAAGTATCAAATGTAGCATCATTGGCCCCAGAAATAACACATTGTCATCCAAACTGTATATGGTGATGGGTTTATAACAAAGTTGAGTCTCTGGATGATTCCAAGTTTATCAAATCAGTTTAAAGCTGCCCTATGTAACATGATGAGAAGTTGAATTCACAGTCAATTAAAGGCACTATTTGTCAATTCAATACACTCAGCAGTCTTTGTTGCTACATGTCGGGGATGTCCAAGTGTAAACCCACTGTGACTTCATTCATTGGTTTGTGGACAACACATTTGAAGCCATCTTGGTCTTTTGGAGCCACAAGTGACCATATTTGGATGAGAGGGCGGAGCCTTGGGGTTATGCTGCTTTCCATTTGTCTCGTGAACTCGGAACCCGAGTTGTTCTGCCGCGAGAACGTAACGTCATTGCCTGGCTTGTACCACTTATAGCGTTCCAGTTTGTCTTTGGGCATTACAAGTCGGAAAGAAGTGCAGCAGCTGTGTTGTTATTGTTTGTGGCTCATCTAAACAAGCTCAATGTGAAATAATAATATGTTTTTCTACAGAAACACGAACATTTCAAGTAATTCTGTTATTGCAAGTCTTACATTTCAATAATATTTTGCCATTTTCGCCTATTTCAATTTCAACAAGTGCTGTGGTGTTTGTCTCGAGCCACCAGGGGCAGTGGCGGGCTAGTGTTATTGTTAGCTACATTAGCCTATTTAGCAAACCAGCTCGAAAACAAAACTTTACTTGTATTGCACGCACAGCAACACTGTGCAATGCATAAATTGGTGACCGGACTAAAGCAGCAATGTAAACAAGTGTGTAGGAGCATTTAAAATCAACATTAAAACGACCAACATAGTACAAATACAAAGAAAATACATCTTAATATGGGCGCTGCCATCTTTGTTTTGCGAGTCGTACGTGACCCCCCGTCCAGCTCGGGGTACCCTGAGGCACCCCGAGCTGGACGGCTGAAATTCCGACCAAAAGGGGGTGTGTCTCGGTGAAATCTCGCGAGATAGCTGCAAGATTTACACTTTCCAACTCGGATTCCGAGTTCACGAGACAAATGGAAAGCAGCAATAGAACCTGAGGACACACTGTGGTAGCGTCTTCTTGTCAATCACAAGGTAGCCCCGCCCTAAACCATACCCTTCTTATGTCTGTTTCACTCTAAATAGGACCATAATTTACAAACTGAGGCTGTATGGAAGAAGACTTGAAACTAGACCATAAACTCACCAGGAAACTGTTCACTGAGGTAATAAATCAAATGAGAAGTGGGGTCATTTTCTCATAAGCTTTCATACAATCAGACTTCTTTTTGCAGCCAGTGGAGTTGCCCCCTGCTGGCCATTAGGAATTCATTCCTCATTGGCTTCACGTTTCAGACCTGGTCCAGTATTTATACAGTCTATGGGTTATGACCAGCATGTTGTTGTGGTTAATGTAAGCTAACTTGATTTGTAACTGATACTTTCATTTTGCTGACTTTATGACTCTTCTCTTCTTGTGCTTCTACATTTTAGCATTCACTATTTTTCCATTTGTACCTACTACATCTTTTTTCCCCATGTTTAGTAAAAGTTACGTGGGCTCACCTTGATTTCTTAGGAGACCGTGTTCCTCACTAAAACACTGTAAATGAGTCATCTGCTGTTTTTCTTCAAGGCAAACCACTTGTGCTGAATCAGCAGATCTCAACAGTTCCTTTTTATATATGAATCCTCTGTAAAACTTCGTTGCAGCAGGCTGCACTGCTCCGTTCCTCCTTCTGTAATATGGGCAGGACTCAGGAAGCTTGTCTTTCTAGAGGCCATACAGGCCGAGTGCAGGTCCAGTGACCACACGCAGATCCAGTGACACTGTTGGTCTTGAATGTCCCCTTGTATGCATACATATAATTTATAGGTGATGTGCAGGATTCAGCAGATTGTTCTCACACTTGTTGGGCAAAAAGTGAAAGATTTACCATGTTGATTAATATTCTGGTTGACTGAGTAAATTCCAACATTTATTGGTGAGTGATATCTGTATCACTCTGTTTTTTGTATGTCTTGTATTTTATTTCCACTACTTCCCTATTTGATTCTCAGTCTCTCTGTGTGTCACTCACTTGTACAGTGACATTAAATCCTGCTGTAATACAGTAAAACAGGTAAAAGCACACGTCGCTGTGTGTGTGTGTGTGTGTGTGTGTGTATGTGTGTGTGTGTGTGTGTGTGTGTGTGTGTGTGTGCACTTTATGTGGGACGTCCTTTGTCCTGAAATGTGTCTATCAGACAGAACACACCTTGTTTCATGGCCCTCTGATAGCACCACACACACACACACACACACACAGACAGACTTATGATTGTGTGTTCAGTCCTGCTCCTAAGGGTGTGCCTCCTGTTTGAATGTCTGCCTGAGCACCAATGTTCCAGTAAGCTGTTATACACTCGCACTGTAGGAGCCATGTTTCTGTTTACTGGTTTCCAATTCATGCAAATGTGCAACTCTCAGCACGGCAGAGATATGAAATGAGAGTTGTTTGCATTCGACTGTGGGAGTGTTACGAGCAGACGATGAGAGTGTGCATTAAATAAAAAGAAATACTGTGCGTGTGAATTGATATTGAATAAAAGGAGGTATGAGTGCCAACAGAGAAAGTAACTAAAGTATCTGCTTACATGAACACGCTCTGATAACAAACACTAGCAGGTATACAGACGCTGAAACGCAGGGTGCGCCCGCTCCAAGGAATGTGCTCAAGGCATCTCACCACACCCAACGTACTTCTCCCTCCCCCTGTCTCCCCCTCTGTCTTCCTCTCTCTCTCTTCGTGCTCCTCCCTCTCTGAGTCACCTGGCAGCCACTGAGCAGGTGTACAGGTCTGGGCAGGGTCCAGGCAGCAGATAAATCCTGGCCTGCATCTGAGCACAGCTGGCACGGGAGTCTGCTGTTGTCTGGGACTATTTGAATTCAAAACAAGCTTTATTGAGGTGGCTGTTAGAGATCAGTTGACAAAGCAGTAATAACCTCTAGAGATTATTATTATGTTTATTACCAAGGTGCAGGTCCACCACAAGCCTCTGACACAGCTTCAACAGATGAACACCCAGAATCCAAAAGATATGACCTCTTTTGGTGTTTTGGTGATTTCAGGTGTTCAGATCTGGTGACACACACACTGCCGGAGTCAGATCCTTTTTATACTCATCAGATAGTAGACCTTTTCACAGCAGCCATTTTTACATGAACTAGTAGGGTAAACACAAGTGTTATACCGATGATACTATTTAAGATTTTGTTCCATTTAGTGACTCTGTTTGACTTGAATGGAACAAAAACTTAATTACTCTAATTGGTATAACACTTGTGTTTACCCTGGACCTGCACCTTGGTAATATATGGTAAACATAATGTTCTCTAGAGGTCGTCAACTGATCTCTAACAGCCACGTCAATAAAGCTTGTTTTGAATTCAAATAGTCCCAGATAACAGCGGATGTCCTGTATGGATGCCATCTCCATTCATCATGTCTCTCTGCCCATCAGGTTTCTCCTTTAATTTGTCCCCCGTCTGTATAAATATGTATGTGGTCATATAGTGAATCGAGTTCAGCAACGTAGCAAATCTGTATTAAAGGATTATTTGACAATTTGGTAAAGAAACAGAGAGAGAGAGAATCCACCTAGCAGCACCTTTAAAGCTCAGTGTGTGTGTGTGTGTGTGTGTGTGTGTGTGTGTGTGTCAACAGATAGTTTGGCACAGTGGTTGTTTTTACACCTCGGTTTTTGTACAGTTCAAACAAACGAGACACAACATGTTAATTAGTGAGCGATTAGAAGTTCTTTTCCAAGAAGTTCCAAGAAAGTGAATGTGTATTTTTCAAAATGTCGAACTATTCCTTTAATGATACTGGTTTATTATTAAATTTCACAAAAATGTATATATTTATATATATAAATATAAAATATATATATAGTGAAAGCTCCAGAACAGCCACTAATGAAACTTGTGGCGAGATTGTTTCCAATGTCAACAATGAACTTTCTGTCTTGTTGTTTATACTATCACAATTTCAGTGTGATGCTGGTTTTCCAGTTTATGTTATATTACTAGGCTAATGCAGTCTACCATTATCTGTTATAATGTGTATTATGTTTTATAATTCAACAGCACCACAAACTGCAGCCTCCAAAATGGTGAAACAGCTCAATCAATACTCTTCAAAACAGTTTAAATAAAAAGTGACCATTATAACCTTTATTACTATTATAGTTTATTACAGGAATGTATTAGACTGTATTAGTTTTAGCTTTAGTTGTCCTAATAAACTTGGAACTTATGTATTGTGTATTATTGTAGTTGTTAAATGTGGTTCCACCTTCATTTTTGAGAATTAATGAAAAGAATTTAAGAAATGAGACAAAAGTACAATCATTTTGTAGGAAATGGGGAGTATCTTTTGTGTCAGCTTTGTATTTAAAGTTATTGGTGGAGTGTTTCCTTCACTTGAACTTACTTATTACATGTTGACGGTGGATGCAGCTGTCGTCTCTGAGTACTTAATCACCATTTACTTGGATGAACAGGAATTTGCCTCAGAAAGGTAACACAAAGAGGTTACTCTGTGAGTCTGCTCCTGTCTTCTTGTCTCTCTTTCTTTCTCTCTGTCTGGAGTCTGCATCTCTGTGGCCCTGTGAGCTTTCCCAGCATGCTTTTCTCACGCTGTAATGTCACACCTGAGTATAAGGTGACTCTCTGGAGCCTGCGGCTTTGAGGTCATCTTGACACCACTGTGCCGGGAGGAAAGGTGCACACATGTGCACTTCAACACTAACATAGGTTGCTGTGTGTGTGTGTGTGTGTGTATGGGGGGGTGGTAGTGTGTACATGGACTCTCATGCCAATGAGACGACACTAAACTCCCATTACCACCCACCATATAATGATATTTCCCTTGAGTTTCTTCAGTCTGCGCCTTGTGCAGGTCCGTTCTACAACAAGAAAAATAATTCTTCAAGAGCAACAGAGTAAAACATGATCCTCAATAAGTAAAACAATACTGCTACAATATATAAGTGTGTGTGTGTGTGTGTGTGTGTGTGTGTGTGTGTGTGTGACTAAGAGACTTGATTACATAATTGCCATTAAGTTGTAACACCTAAGTAATCGCTGTCAAGTACTTCTAAATGAGATTCGTCTTATGACTGACAAACCTGCATGTGTGTGTTATCAAATATGTATGTGTGTGTGTGTGTGTGTGTGTGTGTGTGTGTGTGTGTGTGTGTGTGTGTGTGTGAGAGAGAGAGTGTGTACGTGTACCTACTGTATGTGTGTGTGCACTCCTGCTTTAACCAAAGCTCAGAACTCGGTCAGGAGACTGTGACCAGCTTTATCATATTTTTTAGTGCTGGGTGGGGCAGCATCACCAACCGAAAACAACGTAGGCAAAAGTCCCCACGCTGTGTGCAAGGTTTATGTGTGTGCGTGTGTGTGTGTGTGTGTGTGTGTGTGTGTGTGTGTGTGTGTGTGTGTGTGAGAGAGAGAGAGAGAGAGAGAGAGAGAGAGAGAGAAAGAGAAATTGGCAACGTCACTACATACCTGTGACAGGTGTTGTCGTTTTTATGTTTATGCTATTATTATCACATGCCATGATGCCTCGTGAAATGATGGTAATGATTATTCAGGAAACACCGTGCATCGCTTCACACACACACACACACACACACACACACACACACACACACACAGACAGGACAGACTTAGTAAACAATTGAGGGTCTGATTTGTCACCATCATGGTGTTACTACAGAGCAAAGACTGGCATGAATTACTACTTCTTCCTTAACAGTCAATAATCATTTAAGCTTAAAACAGCAACAAATATTTCATGGGCACAAGAACAATCATACAAAACCTTCTGTTTCTGATTAAAATAAATGAATAAGAAATCCAAAACTGAGAGGTTGTCACTCATTGTGGATCTTTATTTTAACCTTCACCAGGCAGGACAGCTGTGCTGGGAACGTTCAAATATCACTAATGTGCTTGATGTTGAAACCACACAAGCTTGTAAGTCATAAAACAGGTTCAGTACTTCAACAACAGCAAGAGAGGAAATCAAGAGATCAAAAACAGTTTTACCCCTTTCAAAGTAGACAGATGACACAGATTAGTCCAGTGTTTGTACCAATAACTCTCGGGCGTTAAATTTCCAAGACTGTCGTATGCGGGCCGCAAGAAGGAACTGCAGATCAACATGGTGGACTGATAGATATCAAACAGGACAGGCTGACAAAGCAGTTATAACTCAGCTCGATGGACAACTTGTGTCAGACAAATTCTACCAGGTCCTCATGAGGAGTGGGACACAAGTTCATCTTCTGTGTGTGAATTGTGAGATTGATTAAACACATTTCCGGGGTACAGAAAGTGAAACTGCTAAACTGTATAAAACTATGATTGTGTTGTTGTTTCTGTTTCTTTTCAGCTGGTTGACCAGATGAACTACAGGTGTTTTAATATTAATGACCATCTGGGCTAAAGGGGATGAATTAAAGATCACATTTGGACTAAGTGTTTTAGGCCAACTGAGAACTTTCAGTAAAAGTATATTTAGTCATTGTAATACCAGTGGAAAGCTGATCCAGTTTGCCTACATCTGAGAAATATGTGCGGCTTCTGGGGAATCCCAAGACTCCTTAAAATAGGCGACTTGTTTCCACTAAAAAGGTGCCACCCTTACGTTGAAACGTCCACTTCAGCATGTGCACACACAACCAGCTGTCCTATGCTGCCCCCTACTGACCTGAACTGTGATAAACTTGAACGGTAGCTGACATTTGTTATCAGTTGCATCACACTTGCAATGATTTTACTGTACACAGTGTTTCTCAAATGGGGGTACGTGTAGGCCTAGGGGTACATTGGAGTACTGCAGGGGGTAACTGACATTCAAAGACTTATGCATAATTTCTAAAACAAATATACAATTAGTTCAGTTAAAATCAGTAAATGTAAGTTCAACAAACCACATTTTATATTCAGTATTCCTAATTTAAATGAAACTGTTAACTGCTGTAAACAAGCCAATGTTTCTGCAACTCATTAAAAACATTCAGTTCAATGCCAATGTTTGTCATGAATTTAATTAGGAATAATGGGGAATAAACATTTGAAATGAGGCATTTAAGTGCTTTGCACTGGTTAGGGGGTACTTGGCTGACAGAATATATATAAAATATCAAGAGAGTACACTAATGAAACAAGTTTAAGAACCACTGCTGTAAAAAAACAAACAAAAAAAAACAATAATTGGACATATGGCAAATAAAGAAATGTTGCTTGGGGAAAATATGAAATAGATAAATTATTCATTGAGTGTTAAGACCAATAATAAACAAACAGGAAAACAAAGTAGCTGAAAACTAAAATGAGCTTTTTAAAGATAAATTGAAGACTAAGGTTTTGATTTCTTTTCACACTTTTATTTATTGATAAATTAAATTATATTTTCGACTAATAATCTATTACTGGCTTGGTTTTGGGGTTTCACATATGATGCAATGCCTGTTTAAGGACTAAGGGATAAGTAAGTAAAGTATTATAAGATAAAGTCTCCTTAATTGCAGCAACTTGCATCACACAGAGCACACTGGAGCGAGCAACTGGAAAGTGAAAGTAGGATGTTAAGTTTCGTTTTCCAGACTATCAGCTGCTGCGGGGCATAAATACTGAGACTGCAGAGACACATCCAGAAGTCAAACGTCGCTTCACCTGAACAGATACCAGAAACTCATCAGATATCAAAATCATCATTTAACAACATGAGCAGATCTACAGGTAAAAAACTAAATGTGCTTTTTTTGTTGTTTAATAGGTTGCTGTGCTTTTTAATTTGGTGCTATGAAATATTTGTTTTGATCGATTTGTTTTGACGCCATTGCTGCAGCGTCAACATTTCTAATGCTCATAATTCTTTATATTTACCGCATTTTCTATATTTTCGTGTGATGTTGATTCAGAATTGTTAATTCAAATTAATGGAAAAAAGGGTGTGACTCTAATTTTCAAAAGTCAAACTTGACAAAAACACTTAACTTTCCTCTTTTACAACCTTGTTTTGATCCCTTTCTTATCAGTGCTTCTGTTTTTATTTCCTCTGCTGCAGAATGGGTTCCTTCCCTGTGGTTGGACACCTTTGATGAGTTGCTGGACGATGACAATGAGCTGGATTATGGAGATCAGTGGAGTCTCAACTTTAACTACACCCAGACAGACACAGTCACCAAGGAAGAGAGGAAGAGAGGTTGGAAGGTCTACTGCCACCGTGCATATGGAAAGTATGTATTGTTGCATATTCCCAAACTATAAAGATATAAACATATATAACTGTAACCTACAGGCAGTAATAGACGTTCAGGTGAAGGTGGATACAAGTTTATTGTGGTCGGCTGAATACTGGTCGACTAGTTTCCTCAGATTCCTCATTCCTGTTGTTTATGCCAGGTCATATGATATGAAGTAATGTTTTGATAGAGATCAGATCATGTGTGCAGTTTCATTCTGTGGAAAACCCTGGTACTGCACCCTGGGTAAAGAGGGCAAGTCATCCTGCTGTATAGCAACTCAGAATAGCAACTAGTGGTGGAAGAAATATCCTGCATTCAAAGCCTTACTGAAGGAAAAGCATCAAAATATACTTAAAGTACCAAAAGTAATGGTCCATTGTAGAATGATATGTTATATTACTGGATTATACTTGTACATCACTTTAATGTTGCAGCTGGTATAGGTCAGTTTTGATTTGATTTATTTGACATATAAAACATATATTTCAAGTCAAACACTGGGAAGAATACATATTCATTGGAAATGTCAAAGAAGACATAAAAAAAAAGTTTGAAAAAATACCTTATTTCCACTGTGATCCCCTTTCCAGGAAGACAAAGATGGTAACACAAGTCACAGATGACTCAGATACACTAAACCAACATATAGGCGTTATTAAAATACAATACATCCTTCATATGTGGTGAATTTATATACTCCTGGGTGGCTCAACCTATGAAATATCATAAGCTATTAGTTGATATATATTTTGTATTATCTAAATCTGCAAAGTAACTAATAACTAAGGTCATAAAATAAATGCAGTCCCTCCAAACACAGTGGATTGAAGTAACTTAATGTTAGTTAAAGAAACTCAGAGGAATATCTGCTGATGATTAGTTTTCTGCCTCTGACTCTTGTCTGTCCTCTCGTGTCTTCCACAGTTTCCAGTGTCCATCCTGCAACAAGACCTGGCCTTCGGCACGGGTGGTGGTGTTGTTCCGCTACCGGCTGCGTGGCGACCGGGGGACAGTGATCATGCGTCCCTTTGGACAGGCCTGCCGCCGTTGCCGAGATGACGAGTTTGAGCTCCCTGGTTTTTCCAGTAAGGTGGTGGAGGAGGCCTTGCTCAGGCTGTTCAGCAAAATCCGGAAGAATTGCTACGGAGATGAGGATGATGATGATGACTCTTCAGCAGGCTCTACCAAGGTGTGGACCAAACCACACGAGGCTTCCCTGTGTCAGGCTTGCATTATGGGCATTTGCTGTCAGGATGGTGACTAAAAGTGTGTCTGGGTGTTTTTTTGCTTTTACCGATTTGTGACCATTAGTCCTCATAGGTACCAAAGCCTGGTACTAATGACGCACAACGTGAAGTCCTGGTTATTAAAGTTAGAGTTAAGGTCAAGGTTTGGCTGTTCTCAATGAATGGAAGTCGATGCAATGTCCTAACAAGGACAGCAGTTTGCACAGGCTTTTTTTATCTTAACATTTTTATTAATATGTAGGTTAATGATGTGATGTGAAAATGATATACTGCCAGGACCAAAGAGAAGATTGTTATAGTAAATATATATATTTGTATGTTTTTTGTATTTTTGTTGCTACCAATAAAGTCTTAAGTTTGACCAATTTTGTGATTTGTTTCATGAATGAGTTTGAGTGTGGATTTTGAGTTTATGGAGAACAAGTGGTGTAATATAAGTACATTTATTCTACTGCTTTACATTTATACTCCTCTACAGTTCTGATGCAAATAGTTTTTACTCCACAGCATTTATTTGTAGCTGTACTTCCTCTATAGATAAAAACTTTTATATGGTAAATATATGATCAGCTTATTAAATATAATATACGGGAGCTATAGATTAACCGACACAGTTAAAATGATAAATGAATACATCAGTATTAACAATCCAATGATACAATACAGCAGGGAAACCCACCTGGGGGTCAGGACCTCCGATGGTGTTGCTGGATCAAGGGTCACAAGCCAGAAAGTTTGTGGATATTAATATCATAACGTGCATTTTATCCACACTTTGACACACTTTGCTGAAAATACTTATCCTTTTACTTACCGGAAAGTAATAATATGAAATTTAGGACGTTCACATGTAATGGAGTATTCTCACATTATTATATTGTGGCATGTATGTGCTACTTTAACCCAGTTACTCTTCCACCACTGTGGATCAGACCACATCAGCCACAATCAGAATTACTTTATTGATCCCCGGGGGTTGTTACAGTTGTTCTACTTACACATGTTAAAGAATAGAAAAAATACTTATATTACAATATCTAACACAATATATAGAATAGGTAATGTAAAAAGTAAAAGTATGGATAAAAATAAAAATGGAAATAGAAATATAATAAGAGCCTAGGAGATATAATAAGATAATAAGAGCCCATATATAAAGTAAATGTAAATGTAAACATATTCCACAGTGAGCAATATAGCAATGAGTTTAAAATCTCGCAGAAATCGACAAATTAATCCCTTAACACAAATTTCCCCACTTTTGTTTCAACTTTAGCAGCTTTACGGTTGTTTAAACTACCATATTACACTGAGTCTGACAGTATCACATATATTCTGTTGAAGTTTTTACTAACTCTAACTCACTGAAGTTATATGTTTATGTTGACGGCTGACCTCTGCTTGTTAAGAGGTTAAATCTGTCATAAACATAAACTATATATATATATTCTGTTATGTTATTTATATAATATATATATATATCTATCGGTGTTAAAACTAACCTGTTACAGCTGATTTTTTTTTTTTACAAAAAGGATTACAGTAAGAAAAACAGTAAACCAAACACAGAGACCACCGACCAATCAGGTGCGAGCCCTCGGTGTGACAGTTACCGCCGAGCATGCGCAGTACGCTTTCCTCTTTGGCAGCCACAACAACGTACAGAAGCGATCCAGTCAGTCTCGCCCCTCAGCTCGCGAGCAGCATCACCGACGTCCCCGCCGGGTCCCGGTGGCAGAGAGGATGGTCCAGCGGAACCGCAGCCGGGGAGGCGAATGACAGCGATAAGATAATGGCCCTGGATTTACGAAGGTTCCCGAATGTGCGACTGGTGACCAAGTGAAACGACCGTGTGAGTAAAATAGAAATAAAAAATAAAAAGGTTGTTGTGCTGCTGCTGTGGGGAAACGGTGAAGGTAGTTGAGGGCTAACACCGCGCGCTAACCTGGCTAGCTTCGGTAGCTGGCAGGAAGGTAGGCTGCTTAGGGTGTTAACGTTTACCCACAGGCAGCCGCGGGTAGGAGGGGAGGGAGGGGAGAGAGAGGAGAAGAGGAGAGAGGAGGGAGAGGGAGGGAGAGAAACGTTTTAACACCCTCAAGGTAGAAGCGTTTTATCGGCGGCGTCCACCTCGCAGTCGCTCGTGCAGTTGTCGGGGTTAGTAATGCACACAGACTGTCAGTGTGTTGAACAAAGGAGCTTTAACCGAGGGGCCGCATGGACAGAAAACATGCAGAGAGAAGTCTGCTGCTGTTTGTTTTGTGCTCCATTTCATGCTGACACACTTCTTCACGGTAACCACACGAGATCTGACCTGATTATTTAGCTGATACACGGTGACCTAGCTAATTTTGGTAAATGCCAAAAGTGCTATTGAAGAAACTTGGGCTGTGTCTCATTATGCAGCTCTTGCCTGACTTTCGGCTCCACTCCCATATAAGTTTGATGTCTTATCGACAACCCGACTTTATCAGTTTATACAGCAGCATGTGATCCCACCCATACTTAGACTGAGTTGATGTGTATCAGCAGACAACAAGTTTTGATAACAGCAAAGCCCGCATAGTGTTTGGTTGTTGTGTTTAAAAGACATGTTACAGTGATAGGTGCAGAGTAGATCTGGCTTTTAAGGTGCTGGCAGGCTAAATGCTGTTTGGGTTAATGGATCAATCATCAGAATCAGAATCAGAAATCATAGCTGGCCTGTTAAAAGTCACCATAGAGCTGAGATACACATTAATATGATGTAAATACCTTGATGTGACAGACAACACCCCTGGAAGGACTGCTACTAATGATTGTTTTCATTAGATCTGAAAGGATTAGTCAGTCTATCAGCAGGAAATCAATCAGCAACTTTAATGTGTAACTGTAACGGTAATCATTATAATAATTACCAAACATGCTCAAGATCAATCCAAGTGTGGATTTATGGTTTTCTCTGTTGTATGTAATTGTAAACTGACTATATTTGTGTCTTTTAGACTGCTGGACTTTTTAAGGTCTTCAACTTTAGCTGTAAGAAGCCATTTTATTGAGCAAACAATTAAGCGGTTATTTAGAAAATCATTGTTTACAATGAAAAACATTTATATTTAAGGCACTTAGCTGACAATTCTAGTTTCTTAATTAATCAGTCATTCACTTAGTCAATAAATAGCAGAAAATACAACACGATTTCCTTCAGTTTTCAAGCAGTCCAAAACAGAGAGATCCATTTTAAATGACATACAGCAGGAAAAAGAGCAAATCTTCAAGCTACAAAAGCTGGAACCAGAGAATGATGGGGGGCTTTTGCTTGGAAAGTTACCTAATAGTTGCACTTTTATTTTGATTGACTAACCATTTAAGCTCTAAACCCCTCCATGTATTTGTGATGTTGCTTGAAAAACATTATGAAGTTTGGTTTTGTCTACATGTGTGAATCGCTGGCTGTGTTCTCAAGAAACCAAGAGTAACATGACTTGAGTTCCCGTCAGCAGGAATCATCAGACTAGATTCATGTGTTTGGGATTCTTGAGCTCATGAGTCATTAAGTCTCGTTTATCACATTGCCTAAAATGGGGAAAACCATATGTGCTAGAGGTTCTGTGTAGACCTGTGGTCAGAGTGCAGCTTAACATTCATTTCTAAACATGATTAGTAAAGATACCTTTTGTTCCTGGCTGGATTTAAGGCTAATAGGCAGAGTGTCCGGTCAACAAGGGGTGAAACACTTCCTCATCCTCTTTCCACCCGACCACTGAGTGACGTTTAGGCATTCGTAATACTTCATAATTGACCTGTCGCTGCCAAGTGCAAATAGCAGGACTTGCGATTCTCTGGAATTCCAAAGTTCTTCCGTGTCCCGACTTCCTGTCCTTATTTAGTATGAGAGACAGAGAGAGACTGGCGGAGATACACAGAGGAGTGAAGTGAACTGGAAGTAAAGCAGTGTGCACAAAACAGAGAGCCAGGCAGACAGACTGACCTATTAACTATAGTAACCCCCCCACTCACCACCACCACCACTCCAGATATACACACACACACACACACACACACACACACACACACACACACACACACACACACACACGGCCTGGACTACTGAATGCATCACAAGAGCACAACTTACAAGATGTTGGCTATTATTCGCCAGCGGTAGCAGCTTCTGTGCGGCCTGTATGTCGCCGTCTGTCAGTGTGTGTTTTCCCCAACTGTGTCCCTGTCTGTCACTGCATAGAAATGGGAGGCAGAAGAGGGGAGGCAGCCAGCCACGTTATTCAAATGTTCCAGAGCCCGGCCAGCCAGCAGCCAACTGTAGCATGGCTAAAAGAGGCTCTTTGTGAGGGCCAGACAGATGGCCATAGAATGAAGACTGTAATGATACCCTCAGCGGCCCAATACACGCACACACACACACACACACACACACACACACACACAGACGCATGCACTCACATACAGACTCCACTCATTACAGGATGTAATAGTGTGTGTGTGTTTGTGTGTTAAAGATGAGATAAACAACTGTGTTTGTGTGTGAGAGGGAGAAAGAAAGACATTGGGAAGACGAGGAAGGGAATGAAGTAGAACACACTGATAAATATAGTGATTATGTAAAATAAATGACAAGAAAGAGAGTGTTTGTTCCTTTTCACCATGCTGTTATTACTCTTGTGTTGCAAGTTTATATATTTTTTGTCATACAAATAAAAGCACATTTTTAAAATTGACAGTAAGATCGTGGTAAGTTTTCTAAGCTGTTGCTGGTAGAGTAAACTCAGCTGCCATAGCTCTGATTCTTGTGATTCTTTGGTTTGGTGCCTGAGAGGCAAAGTAAAACTGGTTCTGGCCCAGCGTATTAGTGCTGCATGGTTTAACACACATTCAGACTTTCATATCTCCAGTGGCAGACAAGCATGTAAACAGCCTAAAATATGCAAATTCCTCACAAGCGCAAGCTAACTGGACTCACAGTGGCCAGCTGTGGTAATATTGACCGTGCCTTTCATCAACTGACTAACAAAATCGATGGCTTGGATATCATTAACCTTCCACTCTCGCCTGCCCTCTTTATCTCTTCGTCTTTCTATCTTCTTTCTTCAGTCCCTCCGTTTTCTCCTCTATTTCCGGTGAGATAACATCCTCCCTCCGGCACATCAGCTGATCGATGGATGGACAGATTGATTGAGTTGCTCTCTCTCTGTCTCTCCCCTTTCCATCTGTCTCCTTATTTCTTCACTTTCCGACCTCTGTCTTGGTATTTTTCTCTCCTTTTTTCCTACCTTCACCAGCACTTTTCCCCCCACTCATTATAATTCTTTCCTCTTCTTAGGTGCCTCTTTCCCCCACCATTTTCCTCTAATCAATCCTCTTCTCTCTCTCTTTGACTTAAAGGGCAGGAAAACGCTGAACCATGTTACTCTAAGTTGTGACCTGTGGTGAACGGGGGAGGAGGAAGAGGAGGAGGGAGGCATAGGCAGGCAGACGGGCATCTACTGCGGCTCCCTTTAGGCGGCTCCTAGCAAGCTTAAAGCCATGGGCAACACGGCCACCAAGTTCCGCAAGGCCCTGGTGGGCGGTGACGAGGCCCTGGCCTGGCAGCTGTATGAGGGCAATCCTCAGTTCAGGGAAGGTCTGGACCCGAATGCATCGTATGGAGAGCAGTACCAGCACAACACGCCTCTGCACTATGTCTGCCGCCACGCCATGACACGTCTGCTCAGGTAAGAAACTTGTTTTTGTTTTTTGGGGTTTAGATTTAGTTGACAATGACAGCGGTGGTGATTGAATCATTGAGTCCTTTTTGAGGCTGCGGCTCGTAATGTTGTTAAGCAGTTATCCAATACAGTTACAAAGACAGTTATTCAAGTGAGTCATATTAAATTGAACAGCAATTAGTAGTATGTCAGCTTTAATAGATTTCTGAGAGTCACCATTTTCAGAATTGTGTTCTTAAGGCAAGTAAGACAGAACCAGTCGCATGTAAAAATGATGTTCCATGGGTAAAAAGTCTCCAGAGTCATGTTGACATAACGCCATTGTATGCCAGACACTGTTGAGGTGTATCAGCCTTGACAATGAGACACATTAAGACGCACACCAACAGTGATTTAACAAAACTGCAAACTTCAGCCTCAAAAAGAAATGATTACTTGAATTTAAAAACTGAGAGACTCAAAAAAAGCAAACATAAAAGAGGAACTCGCCAATATTACACATGGAGTTCAGTGTACTCATCGAGAGTACACATGCGTAACATGTGTTACAGACTTTGGACATCGAGAGGGTCTAATGAAAAGCACCAGTTGCATTGGAGCGTGTCCCTTTTTGTAGGGACTAAGCGTCATCATATCTCTGCTTCTGCTGTGTAGATGGAGACGTCTCTTTCTTTTGAGTTCCCCAACGTAATCAAAGTACAATCACTGCAGTGCCACTGTAAGGAGTTACCTTGCATGCATACTTACTTGAAACACGTATACACACACACACACACACACACACAACACCGCACTCTGCCTTGGATAATGTCTTAAGAGAAACAATAAAGAGGAGTCACTGAGTCTAACATAACCTACAAGAAAGGGGTCTTACTAAAACACAGAGCAAGCCACCAGTGTGTCTTTTTTACCCCCTGCAGGGATAATCAGGCTGCTGGCCATGACCGAGACAGCTGATTCAGTGACTCAATAGGCGTCCTCACCTCCTCCTCCTCCTCGCACTCTTCCTCTCTCTTGCCCTTTCTTTCCATGATTACAGGGGGGGGTCAGAGGAAGCTGTTTGAAAAGGCCAGTCAATTATCTGTGCATCTGCATGTGTGCACACGTGTGTGTGTGTTTTGAGGGGGGAAACTGACTCCACAACTGCTTAATGTGTCCGAGTCTGTGAATATAACACAGTGAATCATGGTGTGCTATTTGTGTCCCTTCCTACTAACCTATAATGGGCCAGAGGGGCGTGCTGAACGTAGCACTCTGCTCCTGATTAGTATCAGAGGAAATGCTTCTTTGTTCCAGCAGCTCTATTGGACAGAGGCAAGTGGATAGACGGCCGATAAATCTTAGACAAAATAAAGACCCAGAGAGGACAAGCGTGGGCTGGTGGATGCAGAGTCTGTTTTTTAGATTATTTTTAACATGTATCTGCTCCGTGTGTATTTGCTCTCTTCTCGTTGTCTCCGTGGGTTGGATTAGCTGGTAATCCCATGAGATGTGCAAACTGGGAAATCGGAAGGAGACCTATTCCTGAAAAAAAATGGGTGTAGTTCAGGAAGCGTAACCCTTCCTCAACAATGACTGGGAACAGTCTTAGAAATATGTAAACAACAACCGTGACTTGGTTACTCATTGTGAACAATGGATTTCCTGTTGTTTGAGGAAGGCCAAGACATACAGCCAATAACTTCCCTTTTTATTTGTGTGTGTGTGTCTTAAAACCGTGGGACACATTTGGTTCCTTTCTGGTCATGCACTACAGACCAATTCATAGGTGTGAATTGTAACGTTTTAACCTTCCACTGAGGTTTTCTGCCTTTGTCAAATTACTGTACGTTCTGAACAGCTTTGGTGCTCGACAAGTGCAGCAAAACATGTGATGTCCTCAAGCCTGTTGTTTGTAGTAGACTGATATTAGGGCCATCCATCATGAACATGGCGCTTTGTGCATGTGTGTGTGTGTGTGTGTGTGTGTGTGTGTGTGTGTGTGTGTGTGTGTGTGTGTGTGTGTAGAGGTGGTGGTGGTGGGGTTGTTGGGTTGTAGTTGAGAGGGGAATAATTAGTGATTATTGCTGTGTGGGTGAATTGGCAGTGCACTCATTAGGGGGAGGCTGCAGGGGCTTGTGGCTGACAGGATAAGAAGGTCAAAAGTGGAAGAGCAGGACAGCAGTGGAAGAATAGGCTGAAAGGCTGCACAATAAGGAAACATTCAAACACTAATTCAATAGTAGCTGCTGCTGCTGTGTTCAAATTTGTCCTCCAAAGCAGAGAGGATTCAACTAGTGGAAATCCAATGACATCCTATTATTTTCTTTTTGTGGAATTTGCATTAGAGAGAAGGTCTTTTCAAATGCATCACTGTTCATGTTATACCACTGATTACAGTTTAACACACAGCTGCCATAGGTTAACGTCTAAAAGGGTATTAAATGGAAGAAAGACAATGCAAAGAGGACGTTGTAGAGGAGGAGAAAAAAACTATAGGATAGAAAAGGAGAGATGGAAGTTTTCAAAACGAGAGAAGAAAGAAAGAAACTTAGACAGAACAGGTGGAGCCAAATTAAAGAGTGCAAAGCTAATCAGTAAATGGAGGTTTTGACAGACAAAGAGCAGAGAAAAACTATTTACTAAACAGAACTGCAACCGCAGCCTGGCTCCCACTGCAACTGGTACATCCATCACCTTCTGTCTGTGAGAGAGTGTGTGTGTGTGAGTGTGTGCGTGCGTGCGTGTGTGCGCCTGCCAGTCAGTATGTCCATTATCTCAGAGATGTTAAACAGAAATAGTCAATATTCTGCCATCTTTCTTCTCCTCCCTCTCCCTGCTGCTCTTCTTACCCAACAACACTCATCTCACAGTCCATCTCACTACCATACATTATCCTAACATCATCTCCACTCATCCCACCATCTGCCCCTTCCTCCACATCTGTCTGTCTCTTAAGTATGCTTCACCGGCTTTCATCCTCTGACTAAAGCATTCTTCTTCCTGTTGCTGTCGTTCCTCTCTTCTTTTTCCACCTCACATCTGAACTCCTCAGAACTTGTTTTTGTCCTTTCCTTTCCTCAGTTTTATTTAATCACTTCTTTGTTGCCTGCATCACCCAGGTCCTTCCTGTTCAGTAAAGAGGGGAACCCCAACAAGCGTAATGTGCACAACGAGACGTGCCTCCATGTGCTGTGCCAAGGCCCACAGATCCTGCTACTGTCAGAGGGAGCACTGTCACCACGACTGGCCCGACCCCAGAGAGATGAGCAGCGTCGTGCGGACAGCCTGCAGGTACAGACAGGCAAAATATAGTTCGGTGTACCAACATAAATGTCAGGGTCAAAAAAGTGCATTGTATAAAGTCATCGCTTCTGACAAATGTGGCATCCGAGTAATGTTGTCTGTGTGTTTGTGGGTTTCCCCCCGCTGCCAGATGATCCTGAGCTGGACCGGGGCCAGGCTGGAGGGAGGCCAGTACGAGAAGGCCAATGTCAACGCCACCGACAATCACCACAGCACCTGTCTGCACTATGCTGCCGCTGCGGGCATGAAGAGCTGTGTGGAGGTGAGAGAAAGCGTGTGGGCCACCGAACTCACTTAGGATGAGCTTTATTTTTCTGTATGCCGGTCTGTGCGATCTGTGCTCCGTGTTATTGGATCTGGCAAAGATTTTACATCCAGTGAAATCTATCTGACAGTATTATGCCAGTTCTTGCACCAGGAGCATCTGCTTTGTGTTTCATTACTGTCACATCCAAGTAGTGCTTCTTCCCTTGTTTTTCAAGATTATACAGCTTTTGAATTTGGAAGAAAATCCACTTCCTGAATTGAAACAAAAATTGAGCTCAACTCTGATATGGGCGACCGGAGGAAAAATTCATTAACTGTGTTTGCTCCCTTTCACTTTGTGCCTTTTCTCTCCTTGTTGTTTTTCTTTTTTTTCCTCCCTCTTCCTTTATATGTCACTGTCTACTTCCTTTTCTTGTATTTCTTTTCTCTTTTCTACCATCACATCTTTGTTTTCTCTTTCTTCTCTTTGTCTGCTCCCCTTGCTCTCGCCTCTCGCTGCCTATGTTGTCTTTTGTTGCGTTCAATTTCTTCTTCCTCTCCATGAGCCACTTCTTCCCCTTTTTTTCCTCCCATTCCTTTTTGTTGTCTGTTTTCTCCCTCCTCGTCCCTCCCTCTAGCTGCTAATCCAGAGCGAGGCAGACCTTTTTGTGGAGGATGAGGACAAGTTGACGCCTTGTGACCATGCCGAGCGGCATCACCACACCGAGCTGGCCCTCAGCCTGGAGTCACAGATGGTTTTCTCCTCCTCTTCAGCTCAGCAGTCAAACACAGACGCACATGGTGAAACCAACCTGCTGCAATACAAGGAGGTGAGACCACAGTTACGAGATCTGGGGGTTTCCTGCTGGCTCATTTGAAAATTAATGTGTTATTTTTATGCTTCTTAAGGTCACAGATCTTAGTAACTTTGATACGTTCACTTAAAAGGGAATGTCCTTACAGTCCTGTTAATGTAATTTTTAATGATAATTAAGATATTCATCTTGCTGATTTGTCGATAATAGAATATCACATTGTCACTCCCACATATTCGCTCTCTTCACACTACGGACCACGATGTATTTAATGATTGAGTTAATCACCAGATACTTACCCAGACTCATTCAGAGTGTTTTTAACTTCTTGCAAGGATCCATGATTGTAACATACAGGGGTTAGAGGTTAGGACTGGACACCACTTGTGATATTTTGAAAATGTCTTGTATTATCTTGCTCATTCATCTTCATGCAACCTGGGATTTACTCAGTTCAGTTAAGAAATGTCTACCAATACATTAAGCTGAGAAACTGCGAATCCAAGCTTTTTTGTGCCACTTATCTGCATTGAACAGTGCCTATGACAGAATTATTACCTGTCACCTTCAAATGCCACCAATTTGTCACAAAAATATCATTTTTTCTCACAAAAACCTAAACTATTTTTTACAAGTACAGTAATACAAGTATATCCACGCGCACACACCTTGCCTCATGATTCCTAGTTAAATAGAGGGCACCAGCACAGTCTTCTACCACCGGCTGCTGCCAACTGATAGCAGTTTGATCTTTTTTCCTGCAGTCAAATCTATGCTAATACCTAATCTCTCTCTCCCACCACCACCAACCTGCAACCTCACTGCCCTACATCTCTACATCCCTGTCCTTTTCATTTTTACTCACACTATATTTTGCACTTCCTTAAACATATCTCAATCTCATACTTTTCTTTTTTTTTGTTAAATAACTTTCTCCTCTTTCTGTTTCTGTCTTAAAATTTCTTGCCCTCAACTCTCTTTCTCCCCATCACTTGCTGTCTCTCTTGTATTTCTCTCTGTATCTTCCCTAACACGTGTCCCACTCTCTCTCCTTTCAGCCTTATGAGGGACTGAAGCTTCAAGACCTGCGCAGGCTGAAGGACATGCTGATTGTAGAGACTGCAGACATGCTGCAAGCCCCCCTCTTCACTGCTGAGGCCCTGCTCCGAGCACATGGTGTGTATCTGTCTATTAGAAGACACTGACATTCATGAGACCTTCACAAACCCTCACACCCCAGCCGTTGTCATGGCAATATTCAGAGAAGATTTCATACATATTTCCTGCCTATAAACATGCGTGTTTCACCTCTCTCAGACTGGGACAGAGAAAAGCTTCTGGAAGCCTGGATGTCAGATGCTGAGGGCTGCTGCCAGCGCTCAGGTGTGACCATGCCCACCCCACCACCCAGCGGATACAATGCCTGGGATACCCTACCCTCACCCCGCACCCCCAGGACCCCACGCTCTCCCCTCACACTCACCCTCACCTCCCCAACCGACAGCTGCCTCACACCTGGAGAGGAGGGTTTGTCTATGGTGAGACACCCAGTGATGACTTTATTTTTTATTTTCTTTTAACTGGCATCAGTGTTTACATTGACTCTTGAAGATGCAGCAAATCGGTGTTGCTGTGTTGTTGTTTTTTAAACCTACTTTTGTGAATGGAATTATTTAGTTGCTTAATGCAGGATTACTGGATTTACAGGATTGCTGTAAATCATAGACATATTTCCCTTGGGAGCTATACACTATGTAGTAAACAGTGTCTTGTTGGATTTAAGTCAGAACATAAAACCTTTAAAGCCCCAGGTCCTGCCTCAAACCACAAGTATCCCCTGTTTTTAAATGAGAGCTGTGTGTTTAGAGACGACATGAATGAACAGACTTAAATGTGTATATAAATACTGTTTTCATTCTGGTTTAACTTTTGACAGAATGCGATGTGTCTCATTTGTCTGGGTAATTATTTGTTAGGTTAATGTCTAATCTTACTAGAGAAAAAGAGGTCATAGGCTGTCTTTTTAGCAATGATTCTTCTTTATGCTCTTTGTAGTTGCACATAAGCATCAGCCACACTGTGTGAGTTGTTGGAAAATAGGGTTAATAATATTGGATGGCTGTAATATCACAACATGATGGTGATAATAAAATTTTATGTAATTATTTAACCTCAACAATTACAATGGAATTGACTCAGTTCTCTTTGACACTAATATATCTATAATCTTCATACAGGTAGAATTTATTGCAAGTCTGTTATATTGGTATCACATGATGTGTTTATCTTCTGTGTCCCTGCAGTGTGGAATCTGTCTCTGCTCTATCTCTGTGTTCGAGGATCCAGTGGACATGTCTTGTGGACACGAGTTCTGCAGAGCATGCTGGGAAGGGTAGGGACCTGTGTTTTGTGTATGGAAATGTTGCTGCAGTGTGTTTTGAACATTTGTGTATTAATTTACCTGAGTACAAACTTGTGTGTTTCACAGGTTCCTCAATGTAAAGATTCAGGAGGGGGACGCACACAATATCTTCTGCCCGGCCTACGAGTGCTACCAGTTGGTGCCGGTGCACGTGATCGAGAGTGTGGTTTCCAGAGAGATGGACCAGCGATATCTACAGTTTGACATAAAGGTACAATAACACACACCATACACTCATTTAGATATTGGTGCTCATATTCTTACTATGGCTCACCTCAGCTAGAGAAATATTTTTCTTGCAACTGTAAATTTATGTTGTGTGACTTTGCCTCTTGTTCTTCCTCACCTACCTCCATATCCTCTATCATTTATCTGTATCCTCTCTCATGTCTCTCCCCTCTCCTCCCTACCTTTGCAGGCATTTGTGGAGAACAATCCTGCTATCCGCTGGTGTCCTGCAGCACGCTGTGAGCGGGCGGTGCGGCTCACCCGACCAGGCCCCGGGGACAGTGACCCACAGAGTTTCCCCCTGCTGCCATCCCCAGCTGTCGATTGCGGCAAGGGTCACCTCTTCTGCTGGTAAGCTTTATGATTTATCATAAAGATGCATACAATTATGCACCTCTCAAAGTCATCTCTACAGAAATACACGTAACACATATTTTATTGACATTGTTACTGGCATGTTATTTAGCAAACCAAAAATCTCCCTTGTTCAAGTAAAGGCCAGTGTAGTGTTAAAACCACACACTATCCCTTCTCTTCTTCCCACAGTTAGAAGAAGAGGCCACTGTGTTGAACATCATGGTCATTATTGTTCACTAAGGGCTTTACAGCATTAACCAATCCTGTTTTTAAATAACTATGCTGGAAATCTTTTTTAATTTAGTTTAATTTCACTACCTAATTCTCTGTGTATCACCCTCACTGTCTGCAGGGAGTGCCTTGGCGAGGCCCATGAGCCATGTGACTGTCAGATGTGGAGGAACTGGCTCCAGAAAGTCACAGAAATGAAACCTGAGGAGTGTAAGTCTGTTCCTGTATTGTTTGTGTTTCCAGGTTTTTTTTTAAGTGTTACTGGGGATCATTTTAGCTGCACCTCAGTCAGCTGGCACCTCAATAAGCCAGTTAACAGCAGCTGTCAGTACGGCCTACCAGGATGTGTCTAATGTATTTTTATGACTTATTGGCAGGTGTTCAGTTCAATGATATTTGCCAAATGCGTGAGCTGGAGGGTGTATCTGCAGGGCAGGTGTTTAACAGTTGAGATGCTGCTTGTGTGTGTTTGTACTTTCCACAGTGGCAGGTGTGAGTGAGGCCTATGAGGATGCTGCTAACTGCCTGTGGCTGTTGACCAACTCCAAACCGTGTGCCAACTGCAAGTCACCCATTCAGAAAAATGAGGGCTGCAACCATATGCAGTGTGCCAAGGTAAAAACATTAATATGTTGTGTGTCATCAATTGTACAATGAGTTCACAGAGTATAAATAATTCTGTATTTAGTCAGAATCATGAAATTATCTCTGCTCTCTCACTCTGTAGTGTAAGTATGACTTCTGTTGGATCTGTCTGGAGGAGTGGAAGAAGCACAGCTCATCCACAGGAGGCTACTATCGCTGTACTCGCTACGAGGTCATCCAACAGCTAGAGGAGCAGTCCAAGGAGATGACTGTAGAGGTATAAACACACACAAAAAAAAAATACAGCTTTCACTGATGTAAACATGCACCCAAAATATGTCCACATAAAAGCCATCTAAATTGAGTTGAATTTTCTTACAGGCAGAAAAGAAGCACAAAAGTTTTCAGGAGCTGGACCGTTTCATGCACTATTATACTCGCTTCAAGAACCACGAACACAGTTATAAGGTAATACACACATACACACACTTATAACTGTTAGCAAAGTTAGTTAAACGTCTAAAATGCTTCTTGGGACATGTATCACAATCTGATGATCATGTGTATTCTCTTTTCTGGTCTATTAGTTGGAGCAGAAACTGCTGAAAACAGCGAAAGAGAAGATGGAGCAGCTGAGCAGAGCCTTCATTTGTCGTGAGTCTCTCTCATACTGATCTCAGCATGTTGTTGGGAAGTTGAGTTAGCTGCTTGTCAGCTGCTTAAGTATGTTCCTTTCAACCGATACAAGATTTATGGTGCATTTTGTTTTAATTATAATACATGAAACCTGTCTGCAGTATAGTACTGGCTAACTGTATTGCTGCAGGAAAGGCAGAGGCTGTAATAGTCTGTGTTCTAGTGTCTTATTATTCTTGACAAAACATGAGGTTGATATTGTCATTAAAATAAAAAATAAACCCAATCTTTTCTCACCCAACTTTGTGTGTTTTTGCCTCTTCATCTGGTCCAGGTGAAGGCACTCCTCCAGACACACGGTTCATTGAGGACGGTGTGTGTGAGCTGCTGAAGACGCGACGCGTCCTGAAGTGCTCTTACCCTTATGGCTTCTTCCTACAGCAAGGCAGCACCCAGAAAGAGATATTTGAGCTCATGCAGGTAATCTAATACATATCTGTGACATGTAGCCTCTGCAAGAACAAGACTAGCAACTTTAAAGCCCCTCTAGTGATCCCCAAAGACTGCTGTGTTCGTAAGACCACACACGACTAAACTGGTTAGAACAAACAAGGTACTGTTTGTAAAGCCTGTGGTAATCTGACCATTAAGTTTTGTATTTCTCATCTACAAATTGGTATTTGACCTATTGGTGATGCTAGACGACAGGTCAAAAGGACATTAATAACCTCGCAAATATTCACAGTAATTCAGCTTGTAGTATCTGAGGTACTGTATTCATTAATTTACTGTATAAGATTATTTTGCATAGAGCTCTCTTTAACATACTGAATTCTAGGTTAAGCTATAACCTGAAGTGTTTGTGCAGATTATAATTTGTATTTTGCACATTTTGTTTTGTATTCTCATTATAAATCACTGATTTTAAACTTCTCACTATATATTTGTAAGACATCTTTAAAAGGATTGTGTGATAATGTTTATTTTACTCATACAGAGTGTTGACATTATAGTGATTGATATTAAGTAGAGTTGAGCAGACGAGAAATATTTGAACCACCAGAACTCCATTTTGTCCATTTGTCAGAACACTTGAACAGGCTTAAAATTGTATGAAGTCTCCAGTGAGATAAAGAATACTCAAAATATACTCGGCTCATGTTTTATCCGTAGTAGGAATTAAATATGAGTTGCAAATCCCTTTTTAAATTAGAATCTCTGAACAGATGGAAGTTAACATGTTGTCTTTTGTTTCTTCCCAGACGGACCTGGAGATGGTTGTGGAGGATCTGGCCCAGAAGGTCAACCGACCGTACCTGAGGACACCCTGCCACAAGATAATCAGCGCGGCCCGTCTGGTGCAGCAAAAGAGGCAAGAATTCCTGGCATCGGTTGCCCGTGGCGTCGCTCCGAATGATTCTCCTGAGCCTCCACGCAGGAAGTATGGACAAACACACTCACACATACTAAAAAGGTTTTGTTTGCTTCATCCCTCCACCGGCAGGGATGAAGAAGACAAAGTAAAAGTACAAATATCTGGTTACAAACTTCACCGCAACTGAATGTTTGAGTCATCTGCTTTGTGTGTCTTGTGTTTTCGTTTCGTTCAGTTACCCTGGAGGATCATGGGACTGGGAGTACCTTGGCTTTGCCTCCCCAGAGGTAAACATAAACTCCTCCTGTAACACCATACGCCTTTTTTTTGTTCTGCTAACTTTTGGTTCAAGCTAATGCTATTCCCTTAACCTGCTTAGTGACCTAAGTCATCTAATGCATGACTGTGGCTGCAGCTGACTGAGTTTGCTTATGTGTGTTAAGATGGGGAGCCGTCACTCTGTACTGGGAGCAGGAGAACGAGAGAGACAGTCACAGGTAATGCACCGTAGTTCCTGGCATTTCGTGCATATGCATGGGCTAAATTCTGTTTATTGAGCCTAAAATTGTGAACCTGCTCAATACAAAATAGACTTACAACACAGCTTTTAGAGTTGATTTTGTAATAACACAGCTTGACTCGCTCTTTGCAGGATTATGCTGACATCCAGTACCGTCGCAGACACAGGCCACGGCGCAGAGGAGACATGCTGAGTCTGCACAACCTTAGAAGCAGCAGCAACACACCAGAGACCAGCAGGAGGAGTGAGAACACAGGTCTGGCAAATGTTTCAGTGTACTATATATAAAAGCCTTTATTACAAAAAGGATTATGCGAAAAGAAAAAAGGTGTATAGAGTGTGCAGCTGTTTGGAAATGAACACATTTTTGCACTGTATGTGCACCATTTTCATTTATGTATTGCCAAATACAACTGACGGCAGATTTTTTATAGCAATATAAAAGCAAACTCTTGATCCTAATCCAGCTCCATTCTCTGCCTCCGTCAATAAATTTTGACTTGTCACTACACCAGACAACCAGCAAATGGGATTTTAAGTTATTGCTCAATGAATCTGGTCTGGTCGAAGCACACAGAGGCATTGGTCACTGGGATCAATTGCAATCAAGCTGTACAAAGCAGTCCTTGTTTTAATGCAATGATTTTTACTTCCAGAAGCTCTGGAGAGAAGTGAGGGCCGCAGAAGAGTGCTGGGCTCTCTGGATGAAGATGACCCTAATATCCTGCTGGCTATCCAGCTGTCCCTTCAGGAGTCCCGCAGAGAGCGAGGCCTGGAGGGAGGCTTGGAGAGAGGGATGGAAGGGAGAGTGGAGCTGGACCGTGGACTGGATCGAGGACAGGAGAGGAGGCCAGGTCCCACGGGAGACCTGGGTGATGTCGCTTTGCACTCTCTCAACCCGGACGCTCCTCCGGGAGCCAGAGGCTCCTCCTTCCCCACTTCTCTCCTGGATCCTCCTCGCCCCCCTAATAGAACAGACTCCACCTGCCAGCCACCCACGTCTAACCCCCTCCCCCTTCCTCCTCCGCCTCCCTCCCTCAGTGCAGAGCTGCTGGAGCTGGGAGACAGCCTTATGAAACTGGGGAACATAACCACTCCTTATGACCTGGACACACACACACAAGAGCAGCTCTGTTCACACCACACATACAACCACAGTACACTCACTGCTCCCTACACCACTGAACCTGCTCTCAGCGACTGCAGCCATAGACAAGACCAGAATGCACTGACCACTCCATATGTGCTTGAGCATATCACCATCACAGAGCCTCGCTATGACAGCAAAGAGCAGAGTTACTGCCACTCCGGTGGCTATTTAGCTGAGGCTGAACACACTGCCTCCTGCGCACTTGAACGCACCCAAATCCCGTTGCATCCCAGTTCATATAACCGGGAACACGCAGCCACGTACGACAGCACCCTAAAACCAGACAGCTCTTACAACCCCTGCCCAGAACACAGTAGCTCTTACACTCAGGAGCGTCCTGCCGCCTACGCTCTTGAACGCCCACCAAAATCAGACCCCCAGCCCCCTGCCCAGTTGTGCCTCCCGCCTCCAGAGCTCGAGCCGGAGTTGCCGCTTTCACCGGTGATCCCCCCGGGGGGCCCTTTCACCCCCAGCGACCCTCAGAGTCTGGAGCCCCTGGACCCCACAGCCAGTGCCCAGCTGCTGGACAACATCATGGCCTGGTTTAACAACAACATCAACCCCCAGAACAACCCCCAGAGCCTGGCCCTCATCCCCTCCCCGCCCACCACAGAAACCGACTCTTCCCCCGACACACACACTGAGACTGAGTCAGAGAGCCAGACCTCCAGAGACGTGACCCCCGCCCCGATCTGGCAGCCCCTGGAGGGCGAGCCAGAAGCGGACAGAGGGTCGGCGAGCCCCCGTCTAGGTGCTGCGGGCGCAGAGGGCCCGAAGACATCCAGGCCCAGCACTCTGGATCTTGAAAACAGAGAGGCTCCCGAGGAGGGTGTGGACGCAGGGTGTGTGGCTGACCTGTCGCTGGACGAAGCGCACACACACCCGTGCTCACACCCCCAACGCGGAAACAGTCCTGCACACACTGCCCTGGCCACAGAGAGAGACTTAGACCTCATCCTTCAGCTAGAGGGGGACCAATCACCTGAGGAGTGGGAGGAACAAGTACACCTGGTGTGACAGACCGACGTGGAGAGAGAAGGTTGAGCCAAGGACAGAAAGACGGAAAGAGATTAAAGTGAAAGCGGAAAAGACTGAGAAACTAGAGAGAAGCACTGATATAAGATAGAAAATATAAGATATAATGGTGATTCCTCAATGAAAGATGTAGGTCTTTGGGAGTTGAGTGTTTACTGTGTGTATTATACTGTATCTAGAGAGGACATAATGCCCTGCGGACTTTGTCCAGTAAAGATGATGTCATACGCAATTTGATTTTTTTTTTTTTATTTGGATTTTTTTAAGTGCTTTTGTCTGTCCTAAAAACAGACAAACTCTTCTTTGAAACAAATAAGTGTTAAAAACCGAATACATCAATGGAAAGCTACTGATATCATAACACATAAAATGCTGCACTTATTTTTTTTGTTTTGTTTTGTTTTCTTATTTTATTTATTTCTTGCTTCCTGTATTTGTCTTCTCAGTTTGTCCAGGGTGAAGTTTTGGTGCTGATCTCGCTGAAATCCAGACTTGCCTCATAAGTCCACACTTTATTAACACACTGACCCAACCACAAGCCTGTTCAGAGCTCCTAGAGCCAAATGTGATATGATAACTGTAACCTTGGAGCTTGTTTAGCGTACTGTACAATCAGAGGGCCTAATTCTGATTTTTGGACCTTCATGCACACTGTGCCTGCTTCGTTAGAGAGCCAACACACTACTGATCTTTCCTTTTGGTAGGCTGCAAAGAACAACGATACACCTGTCTGCTCAGTAAATGTCACACTAGTACAACATGCTTATCTGTCTTTTGTATTAGTCCAGTGATCACTGGAGGGAAATGGTTGTGTCCCTATGCACAGGGAGGTCAGAGGTCAGGCTCAGCTATCGAGCAGTGCCCTTAAGAGTCAGTAGGAACTCAGTATCATGGGTGCTTGTTGTTTTCCTCCTCACTGTACCACCCTGCTACCCATTTCAAATAATACTGTCTTTATCAGGGATGAGCTGTCATCCATAATGCTGTATTTTACAATGGCTTTGACTCAGTTTTCACAGCATTTCAATGTGCTAAAGTCTTAACACAAAATGTTACACTAATCATTTTACCCCCCAAAATTACATCTTTTTAAAATCTGGTATCAGAGCATCACAGTATTGTGTTTGTCACTGAATTGTCATCATTATATTTTAAAATAAAACGGTTCATATCAAATATCGTCAAACAAAAGGTTTTCCATGGTAATTCCGTTAATATTATACAAAAAGGAATAAAAAAAATAAAACGTGCAATAGTCATTGACTTGAACATTATGTATTTATTTAATATAATATCAGTAATAATCTTTATTTATACAACTTTTAAAAAGCAAAATCAACAAATTATGAAATTATAGTTTTATACTGTAACAGATAACACTAGATCTAATTATGTACAATATGCTGCGTTACTGTAAATATAAATAAAGAAGTCTAGAGTCTTTACACCCCAGTAAATCTCTCATTCTTATAAGTCAAAATAATGATTGTGATTTCACTGCATCACTTTACTTTCTCACCTAAACCACAATTTACACAACTGTAACAGACACTCAGATTGAGATTTAAAAAGTAAATATCTAAATAAGGAGGAGAGCATGTGATTTAGTGTTTCCCACCTTGTATGTGAGGACAACATTGCAGCGTTGTGAAAACTGAGCCAAAGAAATCAGACGATACTGTAAATGCAAACACTCAAAATGATTTTGTTTTATCATATCTGTTCCACTACTGATGGCTAGTACAGTGTGCTGTTAATATGTGGGAGATAAGTTGGGTTTTTATCTTGAATTTATCCTTTTTTATTCCTTATTGTAGAGATGACATTTCTTCAAGTTGAGACCAGAGTTGTTGGGTCTGTGTGCCTTTTTTGTTTCAATCGTATTTGTTTATTTGTTGGTATTTATTAGTGTCATTACTTTTTAAACATGCTAAACAAAGTTGCTAATGAAAGATAATGGAGAACACTGTACACGGAAGCTCTTGATGCACATTAGAATCAGTTCAGCTTACACCCCAGGTCTTTCTTACTTCACTTCATCCCTAGAGAATCGGTGCCCAAGTTTCAGCCATTTTACTTCATCAAAAACTGCTTTTGAAGCTACATGAAATAATGTTGTTGGCCTTTGGTCCCCCACCCACGCACACTTTTTTTTTTAGGATATTCAATCTTCATCCTGGGTTTTCATTCATTCTTTATCTTAAACCTTTATTGTCCAACTGTAATGTTTACAAGAGGTTTAAACGCTGCCTGATGTGTTTAGATACGATTTGGTGCTTTGGAGACTGAAATGGTAACAATGGAGTGTTTTAATCATACTTTTCATGGTGGGCCAAACAAATGTAAAGATATTCTGTCAAAGAGCAAATTCTGATTTTGTTGAAATGTCTCCTTCTACTTTACAAAAGTAGCCAGTTTGACAGAATGTGATATGCAATCAAAAATGCATTACTTATAATTGATGGTTTGAGTTTGAAGATTGTTTTAAAGTGTGAGGTCTGGAGTGCTCCACTGAAGTGATCTTGCCTTTAAAGAAAAAACCCTAAAAGAACACATTTTCCTCTCCATGTTGAACATTAAACTGTGACGGTGCTGGAAGGTTTGTAGGTGCTGATGAAGACATTTCATAAAACTTAGTGAGGTGTGAGGAAAGCTGGTGAGGCCCATAACGTGTCAGACATTGTTTCCTGAGGAATGGCTTGTTGAACAGAACAGTACACATTTATTTTAGGTTGCAACACAATGGAAGCACTGAGTCTGGGGTCATTTAATTTGCACAAGCATGCTGTTAATGTGTTCAATTAATCCAGTGCTGTCAGGAAGGATGTGGAGGACTGATGAGTGCGGCTTTTGTTATTATTATTATTATTCATTATTATTTTATTTTATTTTTTGTTTTCTTGATTTAGAATTGGATTTATGGTGTCAAGGGAATGGTCCTGTGCCATTTTGTACTCCATATATAATGTTTATATATTAACAATCCCTCAGCCAACCACTTCAGATTTAAAAAAAAAGAAAAAAAAGAATGAAATTGCACTCTCATAGATTATACTTGATACATTCCCAGTGGGTCCATAAGAGAGGTTTGATGTGTGGCCAAAACTGTAAATGAAAGTGTCAGTGCAAAGTTTACTCTCAATAAAAAGAGCTGAAAGTGTGAGATTTTTAAGTGCTCGCTTACAATGATTTCCATCTCAACAAAATTTGGCTAAAGAAAGAATAGGCTGCTGCTGCTAACACTGAAAAGGGTAATACTTAATACTGCAGCGGGGAAAATACCTAATTAAATGAATCTTTAGCTACATCTACTGGCAGCCAGTAGAAACTACAACAACCCCAGCAAACGTGGATGTTGGCACAATACTTACTGGGGCACTTGAATACAACAGAGCCATTGTTGGAGTTATTAGTAACACCGGTGCTTTTCCTGCTGTGAGATAAAAGGTAGTTATAGTTTTCAAGTGCTCACCACATGAGTTTATTTACTGATTTATCTGAATACATGGAAACATACTTTATCAGGGAAACTATCACATTCATATAAATAATGCAGTGTGGTTTAATGTATACCTGTAGTGCAGCTTTAAAATAGATAGAAACCTTAAGACACTGTGAGACACATTTGATATTTTCTCTTCTTTCCCTGTTTTAAATACTGTTCCTGTTCACAAATATGGAGCTGCTATATGTTTTTATTGTGCACTGCAGACGTGTGTCCACTGTTATACATTTTATGTTATAGCAATAAAGTTTGGGGAAATATAAGTTAATTAGATTACTAATTAAAGTTGAAACTATAGCTTGTGTATACGGGGTTATCTTATATACAATCACTATAGACTATAAAAGTTACATACAGTGTGTTTTAAACTTGATAAACCTGTTCATTACTCCACCGTCAGGGGGCGATGTTGCCATTAGCGACGTTTCCGCTTTACTGTCGCTCATTTAATGACGTCGCATAAGTGCGACAGAAACGTACACCGTACACCAGCGGCCTGTGTTTTCACTCGATCGCTGTAATTTTTTCTCTTTGGTGGAGGATTCCTCTCTGCAGTCCGTCGCCATCATGAAACTAGTCCGGTAAGTGTTTGTTAGAAGTCCCGGTCTGTGGATGTCGGTGATCTGAGCTGATGAAGATGACGCGAGGTTGAAGGATGGATAGAGATATAAACGGAGAGACTGACGATGATGATGATGATGATGATGATGAGGCGGGAACCCGTGAATGAAATGAATGGAGGCTGTCCGGTGTTACAATGAGCGGACGGCCGGCTCGGAGATATTATTATATTATATTATATTATTATATTATATTGTTATTAAAGGTTGATTAGTGCATTATCTGTATTATTTCTCCAGGTTTTATAACCGAGCGGTTTTTACTGATCGCAGAAACAAACGTACCGAGGTGAATGTTAGCTTTACTCACAGGCCCTGTCTGTGTTTCATCTTCTCTCTAGTTAAATTCACTTTGATTCAGGCTGCAGCCACTAATGTTCTCATTCATTTATTGTTGTTTACACTTTAAAGTTGATGGGGGGGGCTTTACGTTGTTTTTGTTTTGGTCCTGAAAGCTGCACAACTTCTAGCTAACAATTGGCTAGCTAGCTAACTTGAGGCTAATCCTAACTTTCTTCGATATGTAACGTTGCTGTTGAAACATTATCATTATTAGGAAAGGATGAGCTCAAAGAGAGATGTTTACACTGCAGGGTTGTTTGGTATTCGCAGGTTTTTGATGAAACTCAGCCATGAGACGGTCACCATTGAACTGAAGAATGGGACCCAGGTCCATGGCACCATCACAGGTAAGAGCCAGCTGGTGCTTTATTAAAGTTACTGATCTCTCTCTACTAGTGACACATCTGTTCTTCAAAGTTCATGTTCAGATTGCATCCACAGATGATACCAGATGTCCTGTTGGGAGCCAGTTTATTAGGTTGACCTAGTTAAAAGCTAATGTAGCCTAAAAGAGCTCTGCAATAAGTAATCTCCTCATAAAGATTGTAATCAATTGTTTTAACAGTTTTGAGGTGTAATTCTTCTTAATTTACATTTTTAGGCTTTAGTTTGTTCCTATTCAATTAAATAAAATTAAATTGTTTTGAATGGTGTATCACTCTATTCTCTACCAATACATCTCTTGTGTTTTCTTGTTTTTACTCCTCTTCCAATTGGGGAAAAGTGAACTTGTGATTTAATAGTCATTTATACATTTTTACTTGGAATGAGAGTAAAACAATAATTTCATCACAAATCTTTGATGCCTTGTAACCATGTGACTCCTGTGCCGAGACGTCCTTGAAATCACCATTTTAGATTTGTAAAGTTATCATAGAGCTTAATGAACACACCTATACTGATCAGAGAGAGATTTATGCAACTCAGACTGCTCGACATGTTTGGTTGCGTTCTGAATTGTGCTTTGTTGCACCATTAAGAGATTCTACGGGGAGGATCAGCAAAGACGGGATTTTCATGGTGGTAATTTTTTATATTTTTCATCTCCTGTTTCTTTTCTCTTTCAGGTGTTGATGTGAGCATGAACACCCACCTGAAGGCAGTGAAAATGACCCTGAAAAACAGGGAGCCCACTCAGCTGGAGTCACTGAGTATCCGTGGCAACAACATTCGCTACTTTATCCTTCCCGACAGCCTTCCCCTGGACACCTTGCTGGTTGACATCGAGCCGAAGGTCAAGTCCAAGAAGAGGGAAGCAGGTGAGACATACATCCAGGTGTTCTGCAGAGGAGGGACCATAATACAGCACACTAGTGATATGTGGCTTCCTCTTGTTGTATTGGACAGTATATTTTGTGCCAGAGCATTTCGGCAGTTTATTATAGAGTTTTATATCAGTGCATGGACATTAAAAAGTTTGGGAGGGGGTTTGTTTGAATCCTTTCTTGGTAGTGAAACCTTGGTGGTTTTTATGTCTTTGTGCTGGTGATAGACATAGCCACAAGCTTTATGTTCTTGGGTTGTCTGTCCGTCCCATTCCTGTGAACCTGATATCTAAGCCTCACCCCCAACACCTGGAGGGAGCCTCCTCTTGGACTCAAGGATGAACTGAGTAGAATTTGGTGGTCAAAGGTTAAGGTCATGTGACCAGTGCTGGAAATTAAGAACGTTTTTATCAGAATTGATAATGGTATTGAAGCACAGCTGTCATGGTGAAAAAAAATTCCCTTACATTGATTTAGGATGGTATGCAGTTTTTTTTGTTTTCCTAATTACTTTGAAAGGGGTACGGTGAGATAATGTTTGATCTCAGTACCTGCTTGTACTAATCATCTGCACTCTCCCTCCTCCTGCCACCCGGGTCTGTGACCCTAATTAACTTTTAGCAAAATAAAGTCGCCAATTGGTTAACATGTTCAGCAGAAAGTTTCCAGTTAACAGGGTCACTCATCAAACCGACACACGACCGAGTTGCGGAACACAAACACCAAAGCTGTGGCAAATTGGGAAAATTAGTAAACCAGTTGGAGTTTCCAGTTCAGGGGTTTTTTCAGAGCGATTGAGACTTTGTCCTCTGTGGTATTGTAATCCTGGGCTGTGAACAGCACTGTGTTTGATACAGCACTACTGCTGGAACAAGTCTCTTCAGTCTTGGTGCCCTGTTGCCTATCATTTAAACATACTAAACATGACTTGATGTGTTAACACCTGGTTGTGGTTGTAGCTTGGCATCTCCTCAGCTGGCTTGTACAAAGCTTGGTATTATATTACTTTTCAAAATAAAACTCCCAATTGTAGAAACAGACAAAATGAAACTATTTAGTTACGTAGCCTACTTCAACTATGGTAGAAGCAAATAAATCAAGGGAAAGGGATCAAGTCAACAAAATCTGGCCTCTGACTTACGGATCTATGCGGAGGTCGACGTGGGGCAGTGGAGCCATGCCTGGTGAAATCACGGCCTTACAGTTGACAGTGATGCAGGTTGAATAGGATACATGTATCTTGCTCAGGTTTTAGTAAAACCTTTTTGTTTCCATTTGGAACCTACACATTGGTTTGTACTTAAAATAATTTCTTTACCTTCATGTGTAGCAGGGATTTGTGTACTTTTAGAAAGTGACCTCACTAGTGTAGGACTGTGGTATTCTGTGTGAATGTTGCTAACTATCACCCGTCTGTCTTCTCAGTGGCTGGACGGGGACGAGGCAGAGGACGAGGTCGTGGCAGAGGAAGAGGACGAGGCCGGGGCGGCCCGAGGAGATGATTGCCAGGCCGCACGTTTTCAGGCTACCACCTCACTGTTTGTACAGGATTTTTTTTTTTTTTTTTTTTCTCAGAGGAAACATTTTGTGAATTTCCATGTGTTTTTGTTCAAGTTTTTTTTGTTTTTCCTTATTTTGTACATTAAAAACCTTATGAAGAGGATACATTTGACTCTGTGTATTATTAACAACGTTAACTGGGTTTGTTTGTCACTTTGTTAACTTAACATTGTTTTTATTACATGGCTGAATTTAAATAAAGTGGGCCTCTAAAAATTAAATGAGGGTGGGGTTGTCATAAGGACTCAAGGAGAGCCTGCTCTACCAGGTGAGCTCCTAAGGCAATGCGAAGCATATATAGTTTTAATTAATAAATAATACTAATAAAATGTCTCCATTTGGTACATGTCATATAATACTACCATAGACTACCTTAAATTGCAGTTTCCATAAAACTGACAGTTTGGTTAAAAATCTGTTTTGGCAAATAAATTATATATAAAACCAGAGCTTATCTAACCTTTACAGGTAACTGGGGACTGTAAAATACATTTCATCTTTAGATTAAGAACATTTTAAAGGCATTAAGGGTTGTTGTGTCAGCACTAGACTTCCAGAAGAGACCGCAAAAGATCAGCATTTGACCCGGAAGTAAATAAAAAAAAACCCACCCACACAAATATTAACGTTACTTAACTGAATCATCAAATATTTGTTAAAGAGAGTCGCAACGTCTGTATATTTCCTCACCGTGTATATGATGGTTACAGTGGGTAAAGTGGTCGGTTAGCCCTTAGCTCTGGTTAATGCCCGCCTGTGCTTTCAAACAGCTGGTTAGTAAAAACGCTGCAGTCAACAAGAGCGGCAGCCGCCTGTAACCTTTCCTCAATATCTGAGTTTGAACTAGCAGCCAAGACGAGACGAAGACAGCCTGTGGGCAGCGTTTGGATCCCACACATCAAAATCAACCCGCAAATATCAATCAGGGTTTAAGATCACGGTGAGCTCCTATGTGTCTATATCAAGAGATGTCTGGTGCTGCCGTCGGTCGCTTCATGTACTTCGCTTTCGGAAGCAACTTATTGAAGGAGAGACTGCAGCTGGCAAACCCCTCGGCGACATTTTACTCCACCGGCCGACTGAAGGTAACGAATCACTTTGTACAATGAACCGGCTTTATTTTGTAGTTCCCCCCCCAACTTTAATAACTCAAACCGCGTTCCGGTCCTGTGAAACAAACCAAACGCACCCAGGTGGTGTTGAGCTAACGTTACTTTAGTGTAAATATGAGACACATTGATACATTTTAAACATTCATTCATTGAGTTAACTCACCTACACTTACCTGTCGGGACGGTGAGTCGAGACAATCGTTACGTTAGCATTTCCTAGCTTAGCACCATGGTGTCAACGACGGAGCATTAAACAGAATAAGCTAGCTCGGTGTAAACACTGTTGGCCGTGGATGTATCAGACTAGCCCGGTTACTTTAGGTGTAATGTAATTGTGGTGACATGGTTATATGGATATATTCGTTATTTTAGTCGCTTTCAGATGATTAACTAACGTTAGTTGTCTTAAAGAGCAAAAACAAACCCGGGACATCTCTGACGGTCCACCGTCAGCGGATGGTAACCATAGTGACAGCGCGTATGCTTAATACCGGTCCTTCTTAAAGTGGCCTCATAATGTGTGGACAACATTACATTATCATATTACTCCATCTAAATGACTACAGTCAGGGTTGGGAGGCTTTACGATTACTCATTTAAAATGTAGTCTGTAACTTAATCCAACTTGATTACTTTCCCGTGACTTCCGGATTACCTCAACGCCAAATATGCAAATAAAGATAAAATAAATATCATTAAGATGACTTTTAAGACCACAGAACTATTTAACCGTAGATAAGAAAATGTAAATAAAGATGTGACTTCTGCTCAGTGTATTTAAGAACCCGTTTAATAGAGCAAATTCAGGCAGCAGCCTACAGGACATTAATAAAGCTGCTCTGTACTGTTAAAGACAAAATAATGGCAACATTTCTATCCAGTAAAAGTATTTTTACTGGAGGCCATGATAATGAATTGGGCAACTGTAAGATTAGATATAGTTTCACTCAGTGGTGGTGTGAGATTTGTAATGTGTATGCACATGCACAGTAATATATCATTCTCAAATTTTAAATGTATTTGATAATTGTAATCCTGCTAAAAATCCCCATTTTAACGAAATGTAACTGTAATCTGATTACATATTTTTTCCCCCTGTAAGCGTAACATTCGTTACCTTTTGTTTTTGTATCCTGTGCTACATGTAATCTGTTACTCCCCGAGCTCGACCACAGTGAAGCTTTAGCACCTCCACTCCAGAACCAGCTGTAACAACAGGGGAGCGTACTGATGACCAACAGTAAACAGGCTCGCTGGGGACACTGCTGAAAACACAAACACAGCAACCCCTCTTCATGTCATACTGAAATAAAAGCCATTTTGTTTCAAATGCACAATGCCTCTTTTCACCTTTTGTCCTTTACCCCCTACCCGCATCACCACCCGCTGTTTGTGTGTTCATACAGGACTATGAGTTGAACTTCGGCCTCTGGGAGAAAAATGCACACACCACTTGGCATGGCGGCGTGGCCACCATTGAGTCCCATCCAGGGGAAGAAGTGTGGGGGGTAGTCTGGACTTTGAGCGACGAAAACCTCACAAGCCTAGACAAGTGAGTCCCCTAAATGCATCACCGTTAATGAACCAAGCAGTTAATGTTTGTCGTTTTTAACCAACACAGCGGTTGTTCTGTATGTGTCCTCAGCCAGGAAGGTGTGAGCACGGGGAAGTATTCTCCTCTTGAGGTTTCAGTGGAGACCGATAAAGGACCGATGCTCTGCAGGACTTATCAGATGAACAATTTCCATGCCTGTCCTCCCTCTCCACAATACAAACAGGTGTGTACATGTAAACAATGGTCCAAAGACAATGCAGGACTATAAGGAAAATAACTTGTTTTCTGTGGCTAAATGTTAATTCTGTCTCAATTCTGTGTCTTATATAAGGTGGTGTGTCTGGGTGCAGAGCAGAACGGACTCCCAGTGGGGTACCTGAAGAGGCTGGAGGCCATTCAAACCAACGACTACAGTGGCCCCTCAATCCTCGATCAAATCAGAATGAAGTAGAGACTGAAAGTTCACATTACTGACTTTGGAAACATCAGTTGACGAAACAACCTCACCACAGGGTCCATTTAGTCGTTGTTCAAAATACATGAAGAGCGAGAAATAGCTACTAAGTTGACCTTTGGGTGGTTACCTTGTGCAGTTTCTGGGGCTTCAACCACATTTCTGTCAGTTATTACTTTAATCAGTAGTATTATAGTATGATTACAATGAAATGGTACTAATGTAATGGTAATGAAGACTGAGACTCAGTTAACAGAAAGTGGAAAAACGAACTAGGTAGTTAAGACAGTAAATTGGCACCACTGTGTGGCCCGAAGTGAATAAGGCATGCATTTGATAATGAGACATTTAAATGGGCTCAACACATCCCTGATCTTTTATTTTGAGCTGCTATTAAGGAAGTAATTTGAGAAATACGTTGACTGATAAATTTCAGCTGAAGACTAAATGTGGCTGGTAGAAAATTGTTTAATTCCATTATTTCTCAGGGGAATATTAAACACTAATGGAACTTTTATTGTGACATTATCTTCTATTCCTGCTGATAAAAGGAAGAAAAGGTGGCCAGAAGTCTTTTCAGTTACACATGAAAGAAATGAAATACCTTGAAGTGCTTTCACACAGCTTGATTTAAAGTTAAATTCTTTATTATGAAATGAAAAATAAAAATGAATCATTTACGTAAAAGGAAACCACTTTATTTTATTTTTTTTACAACACAGTGGCCTTGGACAGAATGAGCATTTGTACCTCTCCCAACATTTTTGATCCTCTAGGAATTATAGAAAATACATGTATAGTACAAAAAAACAGCTGTCAGGAGAACAGAAGATATATTATATGTTGAACACCCAGTAACATGTTTTGTGTTATGTTGAATCTCTAGGTAAATTTCCACAAGTCTATGCAAATATGTAGACTTCACAATGGCACAAATCATAATTTCACCTGACAATAAAACAAAGGCTCATGCAAGCAACATGGTCATAGATTTATAATAATCAAGTGTTTCATTAACTCTGGGAATTGATCAAACCTGTCAACTCAAACATTTTGTACATTCTTAATAATTTGGCTTCAAAACTGCAAAATGAACATTCGGCTAAATTGTCTGCAGAAGTTGGTGAGCAAGAAACATTTTTTTCCCCTTAAAGTGTCTAAATGTGGAGGGAGGAGTGATGTGAACAGTCTGAAAAATAAAAATAAAAACAATGAGAAAACAACAAAAAAAGCTGTGTGCATGAATCAAATAGGTCCAAATATGCAAAACAAAACACCAATTTATAAAGGAAAGCCTAACATAATCAAGTCTACGTTGAAGTGTGCACTTATGTCTTGATATTAGACAAGCAATGGTGTAGGAATCACAATTTTGTACAGATGGGTTTAAATAAAAGCAGCTACCAGGAGTAAATCCGTGCTTAAACCGTCAGAAGCCACCATTGAATGAGAGATTGTAACCAGCTAAATAAATACTGTTGCAGCTCAACCGTCTGACACCATAATATCTCACAGACAAATACATCTGCAGCTTCATTATTACGTTCTAAATGAGCATTGCAACGTGGCTCCGCCTTTATCTGGAAATCAGGGTTACTGACAACATACCGTCAAACGAAGCACTATTAATGAAGGCTACATTGAGAATCTGCCCTCGCTAACTTGTATGTTAGGAAATGCTTTGTATGCACTGCATGATGAACTCTAGTAACTGTTAAAAGGCCATTATTAAAGTATCTGTGTTTTATTCTGTTTTTAAATCAGGTTTAACATCTGCATTTGCATTGTTTGCCGTTTTCAGGTTGTTCTATTTTCACACATTTCAGAGCTCATTCCATCTGCTCCACCGGTTCCCCGTCCGTAACTTTCTCATTTCCACTTTCATCCATCGGCTCTGGTCCGTCCTCGCTGTTTACCATCTGCTCTGTCGAGTCAGCAGGTGGCTGCTCCGCGGTGTCCGCGGCCTGATGTTCTGGGATGTCGAGATTGTGCTTGACTTTGCTCAGTTCTGTCATGTTGAAGCCGAGCAGAACGGCAGTTGTGCTCCTCTTGAGACTCTTCATGCACTTGCTGCGCTTCTTGCTGAAGTGGGCCGCCAGCTCTGCTTTGGTGAGGGACAGCCTCCTGCACAGCTCGTCAGTCTCGGCTTTGGTCGCGTAGGGGTTCCGGTTGAAGTACTTGGATATGAAGTCTTTGCGCTCCTCGCCGCTGCGGCGCTCAACTGGGGTGGGTTCCAACACCAGCTTCACCGCAGGGTCGGCCTGAATCACAGGCTCGGGCGGGGGCAAGAACTTTTGCTGCTCTCGCTTCTTGCGCATGGCCGCTTTTTGTTCCCGCTCTCGTGTGTTGGCCTCGATGACCTGCCTCCACGCAGCCTCCAGCCTCTTCTTAGACTGCAGCTCTGCTTCTGTTTCTGCAGGCTTTGCGGTGGGTGCAGCTGAAATCACACGAGCTGGAGCTAACGTTTGTTTTATAGTCAGCCCTTGTGGCACTTGGAGGAAGTAGAGTCCGGATGGCTGACTGAGCTGCTGAGCGGGTTTTGGCGGCTGCTGCGGTGCTGCCGTAGGTTTCTGGGGCTGTGGTTGTTTTGGTGAACACCGGCATCGCTGAATGTGAAGCATCACCGCCTGCTGGGTGACCTTTCCTGTGTACACACCATTACAGTATATGCACTTGAAAGCCTCGGTCTTGAGGATGGCATGAATGGTGGGTGCTACAAAGTGTTTTTGTCTCAGGTGCTGAAGGTGTTTGGAATCATTCTGAAACTTTTCATCACAGAAGGGACAGTACGAACTGTTGATTTTCACAGGGGCTGGGCAGATTTCCGGTTGGCTGCTGGGCTGCAACTTAAAGAAGATCAGATCGAGGGAATTCGTGACCAGGGCAAGATTGACCTCGGTATCTCCTAGGACCTCTTTCGGTGCTGTGGTGTGGACATCAAAATAAGGAAACAGGATTCCCCCAACACCTTTTGAGTAGACCCTGTACTTCTGTCTCAAAAAATCACAGTATGCCTTACTTGTGGGATTGTGCTGCTTTACATGCTCAGCAAGTTGTTTGATTGAAAAGAACAAAGCTGAGCAGTACAAACAATTCAGGCCATGCAGCAGGTGCTGGAAGACGCTTTTTTCTGATAGAAGAATTTTGCATGTTAGACATTTGACAGTTTTGTCTGGCATTTTCTTCAAGAACGCTGCTCGTGCCGCCACACTTTCTGACTTGGTTGTGTTGGATTTTGTCTGGTGAGCAACCTCCGTGTGCATGTCAAAGACATTCGAAGGGAAAAGTTCATTGCAGAGGGGACATGTAATCCATTTCTTAGTTTGTGGTGAAGAGTTACTTGTTTGCTCAACGGCCTTGAGAGGGGTGCTTGTGCTCTGAGAGGCCGGCACTGCTACTTGCAGTGGAGCAAATGTATATGTGGGCATGCCATTCATCTTGTTGCCAGTTGGGATCAGGTGACTTAGCAGTGATTGTGAAGTCAGCATGGTACCTTGTAGGGTGATTTGGTTTGTTGACGCGTTTTGTGTAACCACAGCAGGCTTAGATACAGTTCCAGGTCCAGCTGCCATGTTGGCCTGCACTCCTGATGGAAGAAGCATTTGCTGCGCTTGTGGAGTCTGTTGTGGCTGAGCAGAAGCAGGAGACAGAGCCACTGGTGCCTGTTTCAGAGACATATTAGACACCGTGGGGAGCTGGACCATAGACGGTCCATGGGGCAAAGCACTTCGGAGGGCTATCGTGGCACCAGGCTGGAGCAAACCTTTAGCTTCAGCGCTAGCTAGCTGAACTAGCGCGGATGCTTGCGGGGGCAGAAAAGCTTGGTTGGTTCCAGGTGCACATATCAAAGTAGTACTGTTTGTAGTTCCTTGTAACTGCTGTAATGCCACCACAGTCCCAGCATGTTGGCCATTACTTGGTAAAACCAAGGACTTACTGTTGAACATTTGAGGTTGCTGTGGTTTGGGAGCAATACTTGGGAATGTCACAAATAGTCCGTTGCCATTGGGTGTTGTTTTAATGGTGTAGTTCTTGTTCTCATAAATCATACTCTGCACCTGTGTGCTGACTGAATAGTGCGATGGCTCAACCAGCATGTGATGCAGCATTTGGTCTAGGTTTCCAGTGTTCACCCTACACACCTTGCAGCAGTGGACCTTTACAGATGTGGTGCCTTGAAGGTGTAATCTGTAACCAATATACTGTTCCGCCAAACTTTCCAGGTGCTTGAGAATGATGTGCTTCTTCATCGCGAAGATAGAAGAGGCCGGGAATCCGCATCTTCGACAGTGATACCTCTCGTTTCCCCGATGGGTGGGCGCCAACCCTTCCCTTTGAGGTTGTATGTGGGTGGAGAGTTTAGCGTGGAAGAACAGCATGTGCTTCTTGACAACCTTGGGGTGGCCAATGAAGAGGCACTGGGAACAGGGGGCCAGCGCACAGAATGACTGCACATATCCATGGCAGCGAGAGACGTGGCTCCTGAAGTTGTAGATGTTTTGGGAAGAGTACTTGCACAGGTTACAGCACAGAGCTCGAGACCGATAAGGCCACTGAATAGAAAAAGAGAAAGGAAAAAAAAACATGTATTTCAGTGAACTAAGTTACATTTTGCACTCGGTGTGTACAGATTATATAAGATTCATACCAACCTACGTATTATAAACAATGTGAAATGACTAGTCTCGTATAGGTTAATAGGTCAGTAAAAATGTTTTATTATTTAACAAACACTTAAACCAGCAAATAAACTCTTTTGTTATTAGGTGCTTATTATTACAAATTGTTAACAGGAGTTCAGTGTCATAGTCACCTTTTTCTGTAGTCTGCCGTTGTATGCGAAATCAACCCACTCAGTTTCCTCAAAGGCTTCATCTTCATCTGAGTTTTTCTCAGAGGTTTCATTGAGATTCTGCAAAATAAACAACACAAAAACAAATAAATCTGCAGTATTTGAAACAGTACCACAATGTAGATGTGTCCATTAAAACTCAGTTTTTTTTTTAAATTAATAAGGAATAGTATAATAGAAATATAATAGAAATACAACATGATGTACTGATGGTAAAATGGTAAGCAAGCAGTTTAAACAACAAAGCATCATACAGCATGAACTGATCCTGTTTGCATTTGCCAATTTATAACATGTACTTATCTAAAATGAATGCAGTGTAATTTAAAGTATAATTACCCTGCAATAAGTCCTACCTTCATGAAGGTTACAGTGTTCAGTTTTTGTAGAAACAGTTTTAGAGGGCAGCTGATTCAACTGTATGCTCAGTTTGGAGGCCACATTATGCTGAGAGGTGTGTTGTATAAATTAAATAAAAAGCACCTCTTTGTATATTGCAATACTATTCAGCACTACCACAAACTACAGCATCCAAAAGTGACGTTTAAGTTGAATAAACACCTCTATAAAAACAACTTCCACAAAATCTTCATGAAGTCAGAATTATTTGCATTAGTGGATGTACCTGATCGACAAATATCAAAATAAAATCAACAACAGAGTGCAGGTTTCACATAAACCTTTAATCTAAAGAGTTAATAGCAATTACAGACATTGTTATGGTGCAGTAAAAAGTTGTGCTTTCTTCTTAAACGTAGAAGTATAAAGTCACATGAAATGGGTACCAGCTCCTTCACCTCTGTGTAAAAACTTGTGTGCTCATAGATGCAGTGTAACTGACAAATAGTTGACACAAGTACTGAGTTTCTAAATTTTAAACTAAGCCACAAGCTACCAGAGTCAAGTATAAGATCGCTGCAATCTCAATAAAACAAATCAGGTGTAGTAGTGAGGTAATGCATTTATGCAAACACAACAAACTAAGCTGGGCTGTGGTCAATGAATCTGTTTCACTTGTTGCTATGAGCGGAGGTTGAGATAAAATATTCAAATATTCAAACATGAAAATCAAGCTGCATCATCACATTAATGGAAAAAAAAAAAATCAGTGCCATAAAGCAGTCCTGCTCACAGATTTGCAACATTATCCCAACAATCACAGAAAATCAGTAGACATGACATCATATAGTCCAACCCCACTTGTTGCCATAACAACCAAAGAAAAAAATAACCCTGTGAATGTCATTCTTCCAATGTGACCATCATCATATCACATTCCTGCCCAGGGCAGAAAATAGCAGTGTGCTAAAACCTGGTACATCACATCTCTGCTTGTTTCTTATAAAGTTAATGTTCTCTGTAATGTTGTCCAAATAAAGACATTCAGATATGATTATAATATGTTTTTAACATGGCTGTATTAACATGTTTATACCTCCTACTTTAATAAACTGTATTTACCCATAAACTGTATATAATTGTTCAACGTCATTGCATTCGTCAGCATGAACATGACGGATATTTTCACCTTTAAATCAGTATTAATGATTAGTTAATTAGAACAGGTGACAGACTCCAATTCCTGACCCATGTCTTGCACGCTGCTATTATTGTCGTGTTTATCATGTTTGTTGTTTTTAAACTCTAAAGTATGCCTTTAGTGTAAACAAACTATTAGCATTGGATCAACAAGCAGAGTGGGAAGGTTGGGACAGCACTGATTATATACATAAATCATCGAAAAGACTCTTGATGAGAATAGTGTTTGTAACGTTTTCAGCTATTGGGAAAAAAAACCCAAAAAAGAGTGAGCTACCATAAACATATAATACAGTAAGTGAGCTTATTGAAATGGTTTAGTTTATGCGAAGCATTAAGTACCCTTATATACCAGCTTTAGATAAGACCCAAATCTTAAAAAGGCATCTTCAGTTGTTTTACAAGATAAAACGTACCTTCAGCAGGTTCTGGCAGTCTTCCAAGCCGATCTCACTTAAGATGTTTTTCACTGTCTTACGTGCCTTTCGGATCTTCTCAATACTTCCAACTGGAACCTGATACATTATTCCCCAGAAGCCTTGTAAAAGAAAACAAGTTCTAATGTCATGGACCATCAACACAAAACACGAGATAAAACCTTAAAACTGAATCTTTTATTCCACGTATTTAGAGTATATTCAAATATAAGTCACAATCCTGTCACAACATTTCCCAGCCAACGCCTAAAAAGAACCCACAATGGGAGTAAAATACTCTACTGCTGCTTCAAACACAGTTGTTTGGTGAAGGGAGACTGCCTAAATGAAACACAGCAAACAGAAAATGGCAAATACTGAGAGGAAAGGCAAACATAATCATATATATATATACACACATATACACACACGTGTATGCATATGTACATGTAAACCACCAAGCCAGCATGAATGTCAACAAGCCTGCCATCTAACTCTTAATAATAAATTAATAAATGTATCAAACGCTTAAGGTGTGCCATTTTATAACGACATACTGCATACAAACACAAAACTTAGAATAAAGGTTGATTGAACATCCCAGTAGTGAGAATAACACTAACAAATTAAACTGCAGAATAAAGATAACATCCCTGCACTTAATGATGCTTTGTTATAAACAACAACAACAACAACAACAACAACAACAAGCATCACTGTATCTGGATATATATATATATATATATATATATATATATATATATATATATATATATATATATATATATAAGCATTGTGTTAATACACATAAATAAGATAACACTACTGTGCAACAGCTGATTTCATCCACACTGCGAGTAAGTCTCTATGTTAATAATATATGATTACTAAGCCATGAACTGTCGGGCATGGAAAAACTTTGCGTGTTCAGTGTGTGTTTTAATTTTTAAACTGAAAATATGTCCCTTCACACAAATTGCCATCCATGCTAACCCTCAATGTGTGTGTCTGTGTGTGTCAGTGTGTGTGTCAGTGTGTGTGTCAGTGTGTGTGTGGTGCCCACACTGGAGTGATTATAAAGCCCCTGGTAGCACGCTGACAGCGACAAGCCGGGTCACTAAGTCGGCCACGCCGCTTCTTCCTACTTGAGGATGCCCACAGCTTCCTCCCAGATATTTACCTCGTCCAATATTCAGTGTAGGTTAACGTTAGTTGTCGCTGTGCCACCTCCGACAAGGGCTAACGTTTTCCACTTCCACCGGCCCTCAACTGTGTGTCGGTGAGCTGCGTGTGATCCCGGAGCTGCACACAGATCCTCATCCGAGCAGCATCCCGTGTCTGCACGCGCCGCTGTGGGAATAATCTAGTCAAATACGAGAGGTGATGTTTGCGAACCTCCTCTGGTGATAAGTTATTTTTGGTCCAGCTTTTGTCCCTTTCTTCCCCTGTTGAGGAAAAAATGGCGCTCAAGTTCAGGATCTGACGTAACGCTCCTAATTTGCATACTGAACGAACCGACCAATGGGAGCCCGTCTGAGCCTAAAAACTGAAAAGCTTTTTTATTCTCTCACCAAGACTGTCGGCCATTGTTAAAGAGAGTCCGGGTGGTCGATATTATAATTATGTTTTTTAATTTCATGTAATAACTGCCTTGTTAATTGGACTTCTCTGTCCCACAGCAGATAGCTAGGTCGAGGAGGGGGGCGTGGCTACTGCAACCTGGCAGTCATGTGGTACAGGCCAACCAATGAGCTGTCGAGAAAATGAGCTAAATGGGCGGTCCTTGTCGCGTGACGTCACATCATGCTACTTTTTTTAACCAATTAACTTGGACCACCATTTTGAAAAGGGGTCTGAGTGAAAGTGATAGGTTAGATGTGTTTTAGCTAGCCTAGCGTAAAGTGTTGGGAGTTTTTAATATGCTCCACGATTACAGGAGGCCCACAAGGCTAGCTACCAGCGTATAGCGATTTATGCCAATAACGAGGCTTAATCTCAGATTTTTATGCTCATAACCCACTTGTAAAAGTCGGTTCAAACCTTTTTCAGTCAAACAATCTTTTGTTTCCGACTGCCGACTTGAAAACAAGTCACCTGTCTGAATTTACGACCTAGCAAATAACCTTTACGAACAAACGTTGGGTTTGTTTGGAGACGAATCGACAGTTCACCAAGGTGTCAGTGTGACGTTACTCCGGGCTAAAGCTTGTTCGTGATGAACTCGTGACGTATAATTTCTCACGTTGTTTGACTACACAATCATTTTAGTAGCTATTTCACAGTATTTATCCACGGCCCCTTCATGTTGTAATGGGCCATTGCAGTTCCCATATGACAGTTTCTCATCTGTCAAAATCTTGACTTTTGTTGACATGAAGCAGTTGTGATCTAAGTTAAAATGTGACTAACACGATCATAACTAGCGCGCTCGCCCTCCGGTCAGGCAACGTAAACCAGGAATGATGTAATATTTCTGGGGCAAACAGTGGAACAACATGAGGAACAAGAGTAAAGTGTCAACATCCATGTTGGACTGCAGCATTTCTTACCAAAGCAGAGCAGTCATATCCCGAAAGTAAGACTGCTGAAGGACGACTCAGTTATATGACATCATCTTTAAACCCAAAGAAGGGAAAGAGGTTTATTTTTTGACTGTGAGATTCCCAGCATGTCAAACCAATACAGTGTCAATTAAACCAATCAGTGAGCCACCAATCAGAATCAACCACTTTCATTCATGCTTTCTCAGTCACACTGAACAGGCTGTGAATCAACAGGAATTACTCCTCAGGCATATCATTTCTGATCTATCACCTCAGTGTTGTAACCTTGAAATTGCAAAGTCTGTGTGTGTGTGTGTGTGTGTGTGTGTAGTGTCACTTTGTGTGTGCTTTGTTGCTGACAGACTAATAATGCTCTACTATGTTATTATCATCATAGCTTCCACCACTGTCAAACACACCATGACCATATCGTCTACATGCCCTCTCTAACATGCAGTGAGCGGTGTTTGAAGCTCCGCTGATCTATTAGTCTTATTTTGAATCTCATTAAGATGCAGCCACCTCTAATAAACATTTTATCATGAAACGCTCAATCGGAGCTATAATGCCTCCCCTCAGAGCAATGTTTCCCTTCACTTGGTAACCTCCTCTCACATACAACACCAAGGAAATATTCCAGTGGCTGTAATTCATTTTGAAGCAAGGTTCTCCAGAGGAAATCAATGACGTGTGTACATTCATCTTTCCTTGTTACTCTAATGATGCTGAGGCTCAGTGAGTAATGGCTAAAGCTAACTGCTACAATATTTGCCATTGGTAACATATGAATATCAGCACTGAAATCATACTTTATAAACAATAATTGGGCAAAGATCTTATTGAGAGCTACGTAGAGCACACAGGCAGGTGAGAGTGTCTTGTTCAGGGAAGATAACGTAAGTACAGTGAATCATATTACCAACAATTCACTTTTATTCTAGAGGAAAGGCAACCTGATCTGAATGTTCACCTCTAAATGTCTTTAATTACTGACTTTAAAGATAATAAATACATACTATAATGTACAGTGGCAACTGTACATTCTGAGCTCTTTAATCGTTAAACTGTGATTGAAGCATATATTGTCATTGAAGCCCACGAGCATTTAGTTTTCATTGAAACAAAACACAGCAGCAGCTGGCTTCACTGATTAAATACTCTAAGATGATGCTGTAGTGCTCGCCTGTAAACTGATGTCTACTTCAAGATGGATTCAAATTTTCTCTTTGAGACAAGATCCTTTCATCAAAACACATGGAAATACTCTGCTAGTACACTACTAGGATGATAATGCTTTTCAATTAAAGTTCAATTAAAAGCCATATGAACTGTTACATCCATCAACGTGGAAACAGAATACCTCTCTGGTTTTATTTAGCTATGTCGGGCTGAGGAGAGCTAGTGGTGTCTGGGTAAAGGGAATTAATAAATAACATCACCTTAATTTAATGATTATGTGATGTTGAAGTAGTAATAGATTGCAAAGGTTTGCACATGACAACATCTACTATTTTTACTGGTTACAGCAGGAAGTAGGATCTCATGCCTGGCTGCAAAATACTGAGCCTAAGCAGCCCTAAATCTGGATTACAGATTGTTTCTAGGACATTCAACAAAGAAACAAAGAAACATGTGGTTCTTAAATACGTTGGAAACTGTTTCAAAGATCACACATACACAAGATAGATAATTTCAGTCAGAAATGTATTAAATTAATCACTTTCATTACTTTAACAAGCACAATTTACAGTCAAAAACAGGCTATGGTCCATTAGTGCCTTAGACAAGCAAGTAATTAATACATTAGTCGTTTGTAACACAGGAGGGCAGGATTCTTTAAAAACTGCAGTTAAGTCAGGTCATCTTTAATATTATTAGACGTGAGACATTTAGCTGTACATGAGACTGTGCATTATGCCCCTCATAACTTTAGAGAGGCATGAGGAAAAGTCTGGCATGTTATTTGTCATTTGCGCGGCCTCGGAGAGGTCTGTGTACAACGAACACGTCTTTCACTTGAGAGAGATACGGATGTGTATGTCCACATCCACCACGCACAGATCATTTATGTTAGAGAGCACTCTTCAGAAATAGTTCCTGTGTTGGATTTTTCAGATCCTGGGAGAACGAGGACCAATCCCTTGGTGAGAGACACCAATGTGAAGATCTGAAAAATCCAGGGCTGCGTTGCTAAATGTCACAGTATTTCTTTAACCTACAAAACATTTTGTGCATTTTAAACCAGATTAACCTCCGTCTATCACAGGCGAGGAGTGCATTAGGGTGTATTCATGCCTTTCGAGTAAAGGGAAACCACTGAGGTCACAAATGGCAATCACAGCACACTTAATCCAGGTAGCGTTAAAAAACACATCAATATCTTATCAGGAAAACACTGTTAGATGGGCAAAACACACTTAAAGATGGAGCTTTAAATATGCCCCAGTAATATCTGAATCCAATAAATAAAAATGCATTGAAGTGAGCTGCAATAAAGAAAGAGGTTACATCATTGTCATAATTTCATTTAAACTATGCAAAGTGAGGGGTCTGAAGTACAGAATCCACATGAGGCATTGATTCTTTTAAAACAAAATCATCTACAGACAAAATGTATTGGTGTTGAACAGATACAGGATTTACACGACTGTCAACAGGTAATTAATAGATAACATGATTTAAATCAATTGTACATTTTGTAAACTGGATTTGATTTAGGAAACAAACCACCCCAAACATGTTGGGGGGGCGCCATCTCCAAAGAGTCGTCCATTTTGTTGCATAATGTCATTTGAGCTTGGGCCAGAGTTCTTTTAGCTGACAGATTTGTTTTTGAGTCCATCAGAGGGAGGAGCAAAAAAATGAAGATCTTCCAGATAAAATTTTTGACAACTGAAGTATTGAACAACCAATTGTTTCTAATTTCGAGAGGTAAAAAAAGTCGAATTCCTGGAAGAAATAATAGGACACTGCATTTTCCAAGGTGGCTGGAATGTTGACCGCATTAAGCCCCTCGTCCCAAATACCTCACTGACCCCTCCTCTCACATGGTGAAAGCAGAGGCTAAGGAGGATCTGTGCAATATAATACGGGACAGGGGCGGAGTGCAGTTACACACTGTACTGGACCATGGAGAAATTCTTCATGGCACTGTCCAGTGCCACACCCGCCTCCTGCATTTCGTACCTGTGGGCAACACCAAGAGTCAGAGTCAGTTTTCTCTAAATCATATTCTTACTACATTTGTATTAGTGGCAAACATTCACATGCTAACTCGCTCCACACTCACCAGTCAGAGGTGGAGACAGTGTAGTAGATGGGCAGCTGGGAGGAGCTGAACTCCTCCAGGCCGCACGCACCCATGTTGGAGAAGAGAAGCCAGTCTCCCACGCTGAGCTCAGGCAACAGGCAGCGCTCCACCACATGGTCCAGCTGGTCCAGTGAAGGGCCCCACAGGCTGCTGGGATATACCGCCTCCTCAGCACACAGCACATGCTGGAGAGAGGAAACAGTGTCATCAAAATAGGAAACATTCAGAAATGTCACTGACGGCTCTTCTTCTGATCAAGACCTTCTGTTACAGTTAATGACATCCCCACGGCACATGTAAAATTATACCCTGCATGTGAAGTGCAAGATAGTAGAAGAGCAACAGGATTACAGTCTGCAACTCAAGATATTATACACCGTAAAAATAACTGATGCATCATCGTCTACAAACTGTATTATATTATTAAATTATAATGGAAATCCAAACATCTATTACTTATTAGCTAGCAAGCAACCTAAAACTGGATAGTCATTATGAACCAACTAATATATGGTCACAGCCTAAAACTGCACCAGGGGTCTGGTGTGTATGGAATAGATAACAGTCCTGAAACAGCCCTGTTAATTTTTATTATTTTTATCATATTAGTAACTTCAGCTCCAGTTTTACTTAAT